AAAAACCCCCCCCCCCCCCCCCCCCCCCCCGCCCCCCCGACACAAAGCAAAATACTAACAACTACTCATACATCCCCTTTCCTCCCCGCCCATCCACAAATCCTTCTCAAACTCTCCCTCACCTCAACCATCAATCCAACCTTCACACGGTCTTTCCCCTCCCCCCATTACACTCCTTCTTCCGTGCCGCAAACAGCGCCTCAGGCGGCGCCTGCCCCGGATCACACTCCCAGCACTCCCCCCCGCGCTCCCGGTGCACCTGTGTAGTGAGTTCGCACAAGGGGTGGCGGGCGCAAGTGCGGCGGACGGTGAGGATGTGGGTGCAGGTTGTGTGTTTGAGGGTTACGGTTGTGCACATCTTTTTGCTCTTTTTGGGGATGGGAGAGAGAGAGAGGAGGAGGAAGGGGGAGGGGGAGGAGGGGGGTTCTAATAACCCGGGTAGGTTTGTTTGAGGTGGTAGTTCAAGGGTTGCTTGGTGAAGAGTGCTGGGCGTGGATGTGGTGATTGATTTAGGAATGCGGGATGGCATAATGGGTGAAACTGAGCTGAACTGAGCTGAGCTGAGCGGTGGAGCGTTCTCGGCCCCGCGGAGGACAGAAGATGCTTGGAAGAAAATTTCCTTCTCTTCACGCGGAAGAAGGATGTGGTATGTAGTATTGGGTGGCTCTTAGACTTTTTATTCGAGGAGGTTTCCTTCCCTTCCGGCAAGGGAGGGGGAAAGAAAGGTGTTGTTGTTTGGGTTGGGGTTGGAGATCTAGTATGTATTTGTCAACAAGGGACTGGTTCAACTTGATTGCATGCGGCTATCTTGACCGGTTATCTAGATACACATTCACATACATATATACTTCCGAGGCTGGGCTTATGAACAGCTCATCTTTCCACTAGCCATCCCAGCCATCCCAGCCATCTCAGCGACCTCACGTACTCACCTCAGATATCCAGGCCCCTTTGTGATACCTTGTATCACCACGACCTTATCTTTTACACCATCAGCAAGACGTCTCTATTCAGCAGGCCTCCCGCGAGGGAAAAAAACGGAAACGAGAAAACCTCAGGGTCCAACCCGCCGCCTATCCGGCATTTAAAAACCTGCACTGACAACAACACACCCCATCCCCCCGCCCTGACTAATGCACCCGCATAGCCCCAAGGAAGCGATTCGGGATAAGAACGAGACGAAAAGAGTATAGAGGGGGTGTGCGTAAATTCGGCGTGAACCCTGGAACCACAAAGACTGGCACAAAACAGCATGCGATCGCCGATTCCAGAGAAAAAGACACACCGCCAGCCACCAGGCCCCCTCCCCCTCACCCCTCGCCCATGCCATAGGCGTCAGACCACAACGTGCGACGGAAACGTGGGCGCGTTCCATGCATGGTGGCCGCGGCCAGATGGGAGGAATTACCGGGGGAGAGGGACTAGACCTGAAGGGGGGGAACAGTTGAGCAGTATCGGTACCCGGTTATTGAGTGACTCGTGCATCTGGTGACGAGCTGGAAGGTAACAGGCGTTTTTCGGATGGGATCCGAGAGGTTAGGGGGGCTGGTGGGCTTGGGAGGGTTCATAGCAAGGAAAATTGTCATCGCCGATTTGGGTTTCTTCAGCCCTGTACTCGACTCGGCTGTTTCCGGATTGGTCGCAATTGGGACAAGTCCGGTGGTCGACATCGCAATAAGGTTTTTCCTTCGTCTCTGGATGGAAGATGGGTCTTGTTTCTTGTTGGATATTGTGGATTGCTCCTTTTTTTCTGGGAAAAATGAATGTTGTTTGCAAGGTGTGGATCGACCAGCAGTGCTGAGTATGTCATGGGAATGAGATTACGGGTATCTAAATTGAATAAGACAACATAAGCGCTGGCACTTTTGAGCAACGTATATAGGAACAGGAGAGCTCTCATCATGGCAAAAGGGTGTATGTATGCTGTGCCAGACGTGGTACGTCAACCGAGCTTAGGACCGATGGTTTAGCCGATTGGAAGTACAAGTCGCTTAGCGTCATACTGATACTACCCTTTATGCTGCAAGCCACGCAGTTTTCTGGAGAGTGTTACGACTGAAATCAGACAGGCGGCGCCCATCAAGAAAGCCCAATGACTATCAGACATATGTTAGTAGAAAGCATCCGGATTATTGTCAGGCCCGCGGTTGCCATTGTCGACATCGTCCAAACTTCTATACTGCGATTGTCCGCCGCGGCCACGTCCTCGACCGCCACCACCACGGTCTCCGCGGTAGCCACCACGAGCACCGCCTCTTTGGCCATAGGATGTGTGCCTGTTGCTTCCGCGACCGCGGTCCCGGTTGCCTCCACGGTAACCTCCCGGCCTCTCGTCTCGGTCTCTGCCTCCGCGGCCAGGGTTTGGCCGCGAGTTGTCATTGCGTCCGTTCTGGTCCTCCTTGCGATGGGACTTGTTAGGGAAATAGCTCTCATACTCGCTCTCGTTTGCCGTCTCTTCTTCAATGCGCAACATCTGCTTCTCACCTACGACAGTGTCAAATTCAAACGCTTGCTCTTGTGGCACGGGGTGCCAGTTGGAGATGCGTGCAGCATCGGCTGGCCGGCCATTCTTGCGAATAGCCAAGACTACTGTTGGAACGGGATTTTCAGAGTAGAATTTTGCGCCTTTGGGCACAGTCTCGACTCTGGCCGCCCACAGCTTGTTCTCGAAACATGAAACAGCAGTCACCCTCCACCGGACCTTGGCACCGATACCGCCCACCTTGTCCAGTATGCTCTTCGGGCAGGGTTTTGGCGTAATCAGGATGCTGTTTGCAAGATATCGAATATCGTCTTTGGGGGCACCAGGGGGTAAGGAGACAAGAGAAGTCAACTTCTCAGTCATATCCGGAGGAATCATATAGCCCGTATAGAAGACGGTCTTCTTGATCTGGTACGGCGATGTGCCTGGAGGAACGTTGCCCGACTTGACCTGGATGTTGTGTGTGTTGATCATCTTCTGAATCTCCGCAATCTCCGCAACAGGGTCGAGTGAAGTGGCGTTTTCCGGAACCTGTATAACCTCTGTGGTAATGGGACGACGCGATGCTTGGGTTTGTGCCCTGATCAAGCCCTCATTGAACTGAAAGAAAAAGTCGCGGAAGCCTTTGGTGTGCTTCACTCGATCTTCGTAGATGTGCAGCCTCTCGGCGTCCTTGTACGTGTAGACAATGTCCTTTAGGAGCTCTTGCTTGAACTCCATTGTGCTCTTGAATTTCTGCCCTGCAGGCCCAATTGCAGGCTTCAGACAAACCATGTCGAATTCCAGGCGCCTGCTGCGAATGATGCACTTGACGAGATCGGCAAAGTTGGACTCGCCACGGCCCGTGAGGAGCACACTCAGTGCATCCTTTTGCGCCATTGATGATTCGACGAGCTCGACAATCTGTTCGTTCCACCAGCCCTGCCATGCGCGCGCCTCTTCCTTTTCGAGGCCTTGGCCTGTTGCTGCTAAGATGCTCGAGTCGTGCCACCAGCCTCCGTTGAGGAACATGTCGGGTGAGCCAAGCTGGCCGATGGTGGCGCTGTTCCATAGTTGCTTGTTCGGGAGAGGGCTCGCAAATACTGTTCTGTTGTCAGTACTGGGCGTGCGATACGGATGCGACAAGCATACGGGTGTTGTCAAAGTCGTAGACATGAATGGCCTTGATTTCGGACACGGGAGGGAGTTCCTTGTCGTCGCACGACCACCGCTTGAGCGCCGTCACGGTATGATATGTAGCTTTTCCATTTGGGCCTGCAACGGCAGGCCGGATTGCTGTTGCTAGCATGGCTGGGAATGAGCGTCGGAGACAAGTTGAGGCAATGCGTCGGGTGGCGGAGAGGAGCATGCAGGAGTGAAATTAGACTGCAACGGGCGCAGAACCTTCTGCGGTGAATTACACGCCTTTTTACACGTGCAGTAAGTGTGAAGAGTGAACGATGAAGCCGCAGACTGCGTGCAAGAGGGAGGTCGCGACTACTTTTGGCTGGCCCGAGCGCACTTCCGACCCATGAGCTCATCATCGGAATTCAGGGCCCTTTCTTTTCCCTTCTTCAACACTACAAGCGCATGCCAGCAAGTACGGCCGGGTCTGCGCACGACGACAGCGAAGACACATGCGTAATATGTCTTTCACCCGTCACAGAGAGAGCCATTACTGCGCCGTGCAACCATTACACGTTTGATTTTGTTTGTCTAGTGTCATGGTTGCAGCAAAGGTCAACTTGCCCGCTATGTATGTAGGACTGACTCGCATGATATAGTTACTGTTTCTAATACTGAAGCCTAGGCAAATCAAACGTCACTGCTGTCCAGTACGACTGGCGTTCTCCATCCGACTACAAAAGCTATATTGTCCCTTGTAGTCACCCTTCCAGCAACAACGACAGTCGCACAGACCGACCAGGCTCTCTCTTCGCTCCTTACGGACTACCCAGAAGGCCCAGAGGTACTCGCCGCCCGTACTCTCCACCTGTTGAAGATCCTGCTCTACGCAGACGTAGGGAGGTTTACCGTAGGAAACTGTACTCCCTCCATGTGGGCAGTAATCCCCACTCTGGATACCGTGACATCACGCCTGAAATGATTGCGCACTCTCCTGACATGCAGTCCAAAGCGCGTGCCTGGATCCGACGTGAACTCCGCGTCTTCACCTTCTTGTACACGGATTCCACAGGTTCTTCGTCCTCTGGCGCAACAACAAGTAGCAACGCCGAGTTTCTGTTGTCCTATATTGTGTCTATTCTGAAAATGGTGGATCTGAAAGCCAGCCATGGACACGCGGAGAACTTGGTAGCCGAGTTCCTGGGAAGGGAGAATAGCAGGCTCTTCCTACACGAGTTAAATGCCTGGATGAGGAGCCCATATACCAAGGTAGAAGAGTGGGATCAAGCTGTGCAGTACATGGAAGACTTGGATGCATAGCACAGTGCATGTCTTTATTACAGTTGGAAGAATATTGGGGTTTGGTGGTTGACGTCTTCAATCACTCTCGATAAGAAAATTAGATTCTTGTCTCTGATGGATTAGCAATATTTACTTGGATAGGGGCTCTTCACCTCCAATCCATTATACAAACTAGTTCTACTCAGACTCCATCCACCTCCTTATTTCGAGTCTGCTGGTGGTAGCATGACGACATACTCCCTCTCGCTCCCACCAAACTTGATTATGTCCTTGTCCCGAAGCTCAAAGTACCGGCTTGCTTCAAGCGCTTCACCGTTCAATTCCGTACCATTACTGCTTTCCAAATCGATAATGTAGGGTTTGACCTTTCCTCGTGTGCTTTTTACTCCAAACTCGTCTTCAACCGTCTTTTGGATATACCGGAACTGGATGACGGCGTGTTGTCCACTTGAACTAGGGTGCTCGAGAACATAGTCGACGACTTCGTGTGACCGGCCCAGTAGCCAACAGCTCTTTTGCCAGAGCTCAACCGTGTCTACTACATCGTCACCTTTGAAGACAAACATGCGCCATGGTTGTGATGAAGGCGGTTTCCGTGCCTCGGCTGGTTCGTGGTATTTGAGGGAAATTTTTGTGCCTTCTACCCGGTTAGCAGCTTTCGCCAGCGCACCTGTGGGCTTAAAGTTAGGTTTCTCCTTGTCTGCCGGGGCACCCCCGTATTTCGACGGAGGCTGGGCAGAGTCGTCGAGACCGCGGAATGAAACTTCCTGAGAAGGCAGAGGCTGCTTCTCACGTTTATGCCGAGGGGGTGAACGTGACCGAGACTTGGAACGTGTACGTCGGCGACGTTTAGGTGGCGGCGACCTCGACCGAGAAGGCGAACGACTGCGCGGCTTGCGCGAGCGATAAGGTATGGGCGAGCGTGAGCGCGAACGTATTCGATCCTTGTCTTTGGAGCGCGGCCGGTCTCGTCGGCTGTGTCTGTCTCTGGAGCGATCACGCCGCCTATCTTTTGAATGGTCTCTCTTCCGGTCGCCAGACCTATCACGCCTCCTGTCCCGTGACCTATCTCGCCGTTTGTCCTTTGACCTATCCCTCCTGCGATCCTTTGATCCATCGCGCCTCCTCTCTCTGGACGAGTCGCGCGGCTTTCTGTATGGCTCAGGCGAGGGCTCCCGTTTGCGAGTAGCGCCTGACTCTATCGCTGGATTCTTGGGCGCGCGGTCCTTGGATGCATTTCTCGGCTTCTCTGTTCGAGACCTGCTGCTTGAACGCCGGCCTGATGCCATTGAAGGCTCTCTCCTTGCGTGATCCGACCCATTTCGGGAGGAGCTGCTGGGACTCTTATTTCTGCTGTTGTCAGCCTGCGCCGATGCCGCCCTGCCCTCCTTCGACTGCTGGGTTAGCAGTCGTCGTGCGCTGTACGGCGACAGGTCTCTCGTCATGTTGGGGATCGATTGCTGGCAGCAGCCTAGCAGTGCAGCATGGAAATCAGAGCGAGATGGCGTGCCCGATTTTTCTCCCACTAGTGGATACAATAACCACGTTTTTGGGGTCAGGCTACAAGGGTAGCGGGAAGTAGCCGTCTAGGAAATTACGCCGTGGATGGCAGATTGCAGTAAGACAAGTTTGATAACTCCAAAGAGTCGCGACTAGGACGCAGTAGCGTGAAAAGAATTGAAGCTACGCGGTCGCGACTTTCCCCACACTAGACAGGCGGCCCAAGCTTGCTGCACCTCATCCCCCCTGGCCCGGCGCTACTTATTTGCGCTAGGACGCCACGTGCATCCTCTCCTGCGATAGTTATCCTTCATTCGTTTGTCACATTTCTGTATCTACCGCGGACTTATAGGGCCGCTATCATGTATTCATGTTTACAAGCAAGATATGGCGCCATCTCTTCTTCATTCGGGCCCCTTTGGCCTATGTAGGTATTGTGCTCAAAGTATGGTGCAGCTTATGTGTTCGGGCCTCAAGGCACGACTCAGGGCGCAATGAATAATTCAGACGCATTGCATAGGCAGTATAACCACGGACAAGACTCCATGAGTATCCTTGCTGTTGAATTCCCGTGCACCATCCCTTTTCCACCTCCAGCCCAACACTGCCACTCGAGCGTGTCAAGCTGTCAATTCATATCCATGTCTCCACGACTTCCTCGTTAATTGTATTGCGCCCCGGGCCGGCACAATGCCAGCCAAACCTGTTCACTCCTGGTCTAAACGCCACAGTGGCGTTGACTCTTCTTCTCGGACAGGACTACTCGATACGCTGAAACGGCGGCCATCGAAGCTTGTAACCACAGCAGCAGACGGCAAGCAAAATAGATCCAGTACAAGTGTTGCTCAGTACGATACCGCACTGGCCAGCGCAGTCAGTAACTTTCATGTTGCAGCCAACGATATGTTGTATTCGCCAGAATCGATAAACACACTATGCTCGAAATCCTCTTTTGTGGACAAACCCTTTCCCAACCGGCCACGGTCTGCATCAGTGCCATCATTGGTAGAGTTGCCCGCTGAGTTGCCTGAATCAACTCTTTTACAAGGCCAAGGCTATCCGTTGTATCATGATCCTATTCATGCGACAAAATCAGTTCAGGCCCTTCAGAATGAGAGCCATCACCCAAAAATGCAAGTGGCCTGCGAGAAGGCCACTACTTTGGAGATACCAAAGCCGGCTATACCAACATTAACCCACGCCAGAAGCGTCCCGCATCTAAATTCCCGATACAGTTTGGCAAAGAAGACCCGCCCCAGCAAAATCCCTGTTCCCAGTACAGCCGCTCAATCTGGTTTTCAAGGATTACAGCGAAATCACTCCTTGGCCGACACCACCCTGCAGAGACGTCCAGAGTCTACTCCGATCAAGTCGCTTCTGACCGTCACCAAAAATGATCTTGTCAAAAGAGATGGCAGAAATTCCGACCAAGGTCCTGAAAAGCGTCACGACTATATAGAAGCGGTGAGTCTCTTTCCGTTTTTCTTATATACGCATGTCAGCGAGATCTGCAAAAGTCTTGCACGAAGAAGTATTTTCGGGACTTTGATGTATAATGAACGTTGATGTTGACAACATCATCTCCTCAAACGCTTTCAGGGGCCACAACTTAGCCCCCAAACATGCTAATTGTTTACAGACGTCTTCTCAAACCTGCCCAACATCAACACACAGCAAACATGCCCATGAGCTAGAATCGACCAACGCTAGTCAACTTCAGACCATAGCAATATTGAAAGCCCAGTTTGACAACCTAAGAGCCGCACACGAATCCCATGTGGAGATGCTCAAACGTTCACATTCGGTGCAAGTTGCTTCCCTGGAGAACCAAGCACGACTGCTCAAGGAACGAATGAACAAAGAAGGCCTCCAGAGAAGTAAGTATAATTCTCCTTTTATAATACGAAGCTTGCCCACAGAGACTGCATATGATTGCTATTTTGTGATATTGAGCAACATGGGCTCTTCATTATACATTCGGAACATCACACACGCACAAAGTCCAATGACTAAGCATATATAGGGTCAAGCGGTAACTGGCTATATGTTCCAGTCGATGAGGGCGTTGAGAAGAAGCCGACGAACTTCGAATCTCTAGACCTAGACACATCTTTTGATAAGATATTGACGGGCAAGACATATTCACATATGCATCCAAAAAATGCCCCTGAAACGGTAATGATGCCTAGAAAAGAACGCAATTAGGATACATACTGAAACAGATTCATTAGGAAACCTTGAAGCGCAAGCTTTTCGCCTCTCCTCGACTGGAAACAGGAACCCAGAACCTATATTTGGAACTCAGCTTACACGCACGAAATAATGCTGCTCTCCAAAAACAGGTTGATTCACTCACGACAAAGTTAAACGAATCGAACGAGAGCGAGCGAAAGCTGAGAAGTACGCTGAACCTGACGGAAACGAAAGGTGCTGCGTGGGAGGAGAAGGCAAAGCACGCTAACAAGCTCATTGACAAACTCACTGAGAAAATCCATGCTCTAAAAAACACTGCTTCCGATCTCGAGGCTCGCCTTGAAATTGCCAATGCTAAACGATTAGACGCTGAAGAACAGCTCTCAAACTGGAGGGATAAGAAGTCGCCGTTTGATCTCACTCCCACCAAGCTATGTATCTCGCCGGGTACGAGTCGGGTAGCTTCAGGTACCCAAAGTAGTACTGGTACTCAAACTGCTAGCAAACCAGCTGATACTTCAGAAGCAGTCGGCTCAGAAACCCTGGGGCTAAATGCATCTACCTCGGAAATTGAGCAGCTACAAGCTCAAGTTGCTGAGAAAAATGTATACGTAGCTGAACTGGAAGCGAAACGGGAAGAGCTACAGCGAAAACTCAACCAACTTGAGCAAGAGCACAAGAGAGTGGCTGTCCAATCGGATCTTCAATATGAGCTTCTAAAAGAAACTCGCGTAAGCGACAAGCTAATCGAGCAACTCCGGAATTCGGTCATTAACCGTGAATCCACAATCATGGAAAATGAAGAAGCGATCCACACATTGATGAGGCAGCTCGAGTACCACAAGGTCTTGCTGCAAGCGGAAATCCGACAACATACAGCGATGAAGCTTTTTGTTGCCGAGGAGGAACATCCTCTGCCGGAGCTTAGGTCGTTGGCTAAGGGAGCAGACATTGATTGTTGGATCGAGAAGCTTCATGAGCGTTTGAAGAGAGAGAGGCCTCACAATGAGGACGAAGCTGTCATTGACACGCCCGAAGCTAAGGTCGAAAAGTTGCGTCGCGAGATTGACTTTTATGTGCGCGAAATTATCCTGTTCAAGCTTGATATCAAGGGGTACAGGAGCAACATTCGCAAATTGAAAGAAATGGCCGGGAACAAGGGTAGCTTCGAAGAATCGGGTGACACTAGAGAGAAGGCTTCCACAGCCTCACCAGTTCGATCTACTTTTGCACCCGTCACACCCGAGCTGGATGCCTTTCTCAACGCTTCGTCAATTGGGGACCACATCGACATCTTGTCGAGGTTGGAAGAGCATTCTGTTGCTCCGTCATCGCCGGGTCCTTCTCACAAGAGCTGGACTGCCGAGGATAATGAGAAGATGTTTGGGCTGGCGATACCCAAGGTTTCTCGGGGTTCGAAAAACAACAGCTTCTTTGCAACTGAGTCTGGTCGTATCGACTCGGCTTTCTCACCTTCTCCAAACCCAAATCTGGCTTCAGAGCACTCGACACCTTCGGTATGTGGGCTGACCGGTCTTTGGTTTACTATCTGACTCTAGTTTAGTGTGTTTTGAGCGAATCTCTTGAAGCTGACCAGCAGCCTGATACACTCAACGAGCCCGCAGAAAAAAGACGGACGGCATCAACGGCCGAACGGGAAGCAGCATCTTACAGACAATCTATATTCATGTCAGATGCCCCCGAGTCACCTCCAAGTCTGCCAGTTGATATTGCTCAACTACCAGACGATTCCAGTCCGAACGAACAGGTAGCGGAGATGCCATTCGACATTTATGATGAATTGGCAGTCTCTCTACTACCGGGATCACCTACAACATCACTCTCTGAAACAGATTCAGTCATTTCGACTGCGAGTGATTTCCTTTCGTATTCTGTGCTTCCAGCCGGACACAAACCAAGCAATGCCCCAACACTAAGTGTGCCCTTCCAGGTAGCTGCAGAGCCGCCGCCAGCACCAGTACTTGTCACGCCGGCTGTTGCTACTCATACCCTGGGCTGCTCAATCACCCGCGGTGCGCCATTCGATGTCAAACCATCTGCTTCTGATCCTAGTATTGACGAGACCATAGCGCCACCCACTCTCGCGGATGCACCAGTCCCACAAACCAAGATATGGCAAGAAGAAACGCCTAAAATAACCGAATCATCTTCGAGTTCTCCTACCGTGTTCGAAAAAGAGGAAGAGCAATCCATGAGCCTCCCTATCATTCTGTCCCGCTTACGCGAAGGAAGTGTAAGCAGCGTCTACTCGGCGGACAGTGTGTCGAAGCCCAGCCAACAACAAGATACCGAGATGTCGGAGAGCAACGTCATTAACATGTTGAAAGCGCTGCAGAGCTGCCCGTTCAGTCTCAAACCAAAATCTTCTTCTTCTTCATTAAGAAGCTTTGCATGATAGCAAAGAGTCCAAGTTAACATTTGCGCTCAGCGATTTCGGAGCAACCATCCTTTGCGAATGTTTTATCCGAAAGGATAGGACATGGAGTTTCTTTTGTTAATTCCGCTCGTCGGACTCACATACAGCACATGACATGTTTTTTTTCTTTTTTTCTCCTGGATGTGTAACTAGTTTTTGAACACGTGTATAAGTTAGCAGTAATGTCACAACGCATAAGTTGGTAACCGAGACGGAATTGGAACATGCACTATTAAATATATGTAAGCTTGCTGAGCCCAAACCCCTGAGTGCCTTTCTTGCAAGTCAGACATGATTGCGTGGACAGTTAACTATTGGTTTGTATAGTTGTTCGTAAAACCACGGACTATAGCAGTTTTTGGTTACGTGGATCACGATATCTCTCGTATGTGGTGCCGCGGTGCCGAGGAGCAGTCCAACTAGCCCGTATCTGTTGTATTACCTCGTAGCTAAGCGGACGCCACTAGACAGGGATGCTGGGCTCGCCGCCTTGGGTACCACCTTGGCAGGGACACTGCATTTCAGAGGCAAGCATTAGCTTCCCCCACAATCCGTCCATGTAAGATGGAGTCAGCTTCTTGCGCATTCTCCGCACTTCTCATTCCTCCCTTCTCCTTGCCTAGTGGGAGTCGTGGATAATCGTAATACAGAATGGCGCTGATGCGGCGCTACACGCTCTATGTCCTCATGAGCTTTAGTCTCATCTACTTTCTTTACTGTCTCAAGACACCTTATGAGAACCCAGACAACGCGGTCATAGTCAACGACCACGAACATGAGCAAAACCACGAGCACGAGCACAAGCATGAACAACATCCAGAGAAACACACACACGTAAATGAACCGCAAAAGACAAAAAAGTTCCCGTCGTTTGATTGGGCCAAGGTGCCGTTCCACAATCGCATCGAGTCGTTCACTCCGCTACCAGCCGGCGAACCGAAAGCGCTACCCAAGATCCAGTTTAAATTCGGAGCCGAAGACGCCACAGCTAAGAACATCCGCGAAACGAGGAGAGAAGAAGTCAAGAAGCAGTTCTTCAAATGCTGGAAGAACTATCGCAGCCATGCATGGATGCACGATGAGGTGCGTCCCATAAGCGGGGGAGTGTCGGACCACTTTGGAGGCTGGGCCGCCACACTCATCGACGCGCTCGATACTCTATACATTATGGGATTCGAAGAGGAGTTCGCGTCGGCCGTCGAGGACGTTGAGCTAATCGACTTTGGATACACGGATTTGGAAACGGTCAATGTGTTTGAGACCAACATCCGGCACCTGGGTGGTCTCTTGTCAGCCTTTGAACTCAGCGGCGACGAACGGTTGCTAAAAAAGGCAAAGGAGGTGGGCGAAATGTTGTACCATGCTTTCGACACACCCAACCACATGCCCGTTACGCGATGGCAGTTTCGCGCTGGGGGTGAGGGCAAGCCCCAAGCAGCCGACGGACAGGTCCTCCTTGCGGAAATTGGAAGTATGACCATGGAGTTTACGCGCCTCTCGCAATTGACAGGCGACCCAAAATGGTACGATGCAGTAGCAAGAATATCCCAGCTTCTAGAAGCCCAACAGAGCAAAACAAAACTCCCAGGCATGTGGCCACTGATGGTAAATGCACGAAATGCCGATTTCACCCAAGACATCAGTTTCACCCTTGGCAGCATGGCCGACTCCGCGTACGAGTATCTGGCCAAAGAATATATGCTCCTCGGCGGCCTCGATACCACCTACCACAAAATGTACGAAAGCGCCATGGACACCGCCTCCAAACACATCCTATTCCGCCCCTCAAACCCAGAAGACTACAACATGCTCGCCTCAGGCTTCGTCTCCGTCTCCGAAGACTCAACCCCCCACCTTGACCCCGTTCTCCAGCACCTCGCCTGCTACACCGGCGGCATGTTCGCCCTCGGCGGCCGCCTCTTCTCAAACGAAACACACCTACAAACCGCTCGCAAGCTGACCGACACCTGTGTATGGGCCTACCGCGCATCCCCCGCAGGCATCATGCCAGAAGTATCGCATCTCCTCCCCTGCGCCTCCTCCACCACTTGCTCCTGGGACGAATCCGCATGGCAACAAGGTATCATGGCTCGCACCTCTGCCTCCGAAAAAGAGCAGGATCCACTGAAGAACATTGCGAACTTGCGTCTTCCACCAGGTTTCACATCTATCGAGGACCGCCGCTATATCCTCCGCCCTGAGGCCATCGAAAGCGTGTTCATCATGTATCGCGTTACGGGTGAGCAGCAGTGGCAAGCTGCGGCGTGGGATATGTGGAATGCGATTTTAAAGTCTACGGATACGGATATTGGGAATTCGGCGCTGGTGGATGTTTCGGCGCCACAGCCGCCTAGGGAGGATAGTATGGAGGTATGTTGGCACCTCCTTTCCTCACCCTTTCAATTGCTCTGCTTTGCGAGCGCTATTGGCGTTTTGGGCTAACGATGATAAAACAGAGCTTCTGGATGGCGGAGACGCTGAAATATTTCTATCTCACGTTCAGTGAGCCCAGCGTTGTTAGTCTTGATGACTGGGTTTTTAATACCGAGGCGCATCCGTTTAGAGTACCGAAACCAAAGGCTTAGAGATATATCCTGGATTTCTTCCTTTTTCTTTCTTCCGGGTTGTATAATATAGAAAGGGTATGGGGTATGGGGGATTCTTGGCATTTACTTTAGGAAGAAAAAAGATGGTACACCCCTGTGTAGTACACAAAGATAATGGATGAAGTGCGTCCCTAGGTGAAGAGAAAACACTGTATAGCGAAACAAGGTTCATGATTCGGACCACTCGGAGATGTTTCCTCACAAACTTGTTCGAGACATAGCTGATACATAATGGTTCTTTAGCTATTATACTTTGGATTAACTTTACCTCTAAGACGAATTGCTGTGGTATTGTCCAGGCTTTTGGCTACCGTCGTCAACGCCGTCTCATTAGGAGTCTCTAGCGACTGCTAACCCTTATTCGTTCACGGTGTTGACTACTTCTCAAGGCATTCGGAGGGTTAAGAAGCAAGCATGATATATTGTATTGGAAAGAATACGGCGCGACGCCAGTCCTGTATGCCACGCTAACGTAAATCCCCATTGATTCTAGTCCTGCCCTCCCTGGATTCGCATGCTTAGGCGGGATGCAAAGCTCTTAGCGGGAGGCCAAGTCACGTAACCATCGCCTCGCGATGATCATCCCTTTCTGGCATTGAGCAGTATTTTAACCACCTGCTCATGGCCTTTAGCTAAAGCTGCCTGTAGTGCGTTGCCGCAGCGTCCACTCTCTGCGTTAATCTTAGTGCCCTTTCTGAGCAGTACAGTGGCAAGCATAATCGGCTTCCAGTTCAGCGACGAAGGTCCACTGCTACCAGGTCAGCATCATCGCGTGACAGGCGTGTCTGTGTAGTCAATATCATATGACCTATTGCAAAGTTCAGTTATACAGATCCACGATAGGCTGCCTAAGTTAGTAGTAATCTACAATAGTCGCAAATGCCGCGGGTGGCCAGACACGGGAAGCTGAAGTCTTATGACGTTGTCAAGGTATCAGGAAGTAAGCCACATGACTGGAATAATATAAATAAATGACGAATCCAGTCCCTATCCAATACTCCTTCACCAGCCATTACCTACCTCCAAGTATCCACTTGGACTCGACCTCGTCACATTTATTCTTATACGAGCAAGGAATCAACTGTGTCCAACCCCATAGCGTATGATTCTGCAGACTTGCGGCACGGAGACAATAAGCAGCCACCATCGAACCAACAGTACGCACAGGAATCAGCCTTGCAAGTAAGCGATGCTGATCCTTCTGTTGAGAGCGCACCTGCGAATTCATGCAGGCAGACTCGGGACCTGATCAATTCCCTGGTCAAATCTATGAAGAGGCCAGCGGATGAGAAGTGTTTCACCTGCCTCTGTAAGGATGGAGTTCTACGAATCCTCTACTTCCTACCCGCATCACTCGACGAGCCTACTCCAATCGTAGTGTACGACGCCAAGCCTCTATCACTAGGACTGCTTAAGGCATACCTTGACTATAGGATGGAGTGGAGCCAAGAGGTAGAAGACCGCTTTCGAGGAGTCGACGGAACATCTGTTCCACAAGGGTTAATAATTCACAGATAAAATATATGGTTGCAATTATTGTCTGACTAACTCAGTAGGCATTGGCTGCATACCCCACCGGGCGTAATTGAATCCCGGGGTAGTAAGAACGAGCGCACTGAAGAAATCCATAGGTACAATGACAAAGTACGACAAGGCGAAGGAAGTAGTAACGCAGCGAGGCCAGCTTGTGGAGGCATGCCCAACAATTTTGATATTGGTCCGCGTTGAAGCAATCTGTACCTATTTTGCCCTGCAGTGCTTACATCATTGTTCACTCATGGCGGTCAAGTAAACAAGGGTTGGTCGTATGCGGCGTAATCAAACGTAAGAGTGTATTTCAATAGTAGAATCTCGTACAGGCTCAGTTGACAGTATGCACAGAAGCTCTAAACATGCATTGACAACTTATCTCACCGTTTGCACGACGTCTGCTTCAGTGGATATATCTATCAACCTCTTAATATCAGTAGCTCTCTACTCGTGTTAAGATCTTTTGAACGAAGCGAGCCGGGCTGCTAACAAGATAGACTGATATCGAATCTACATGATTCTCGATACCGCGTCCCACTGTGTTGATGGTTATTACAATGAACGGACCAAGATACCAAGGCTTGTTCGAACATTCTTATAGGCCGGTTAATACATTGCGACGTAGCCCTTGACATGAAGGATCGATATAGCAGTCCACAAGTTAGTTGACCAGAATCCCATACGCCCTTGAAGGCGGGGTTTGGCTCTCGCCGTAGTACAGTATAGATAGCTACAGCCAAACAATAAGCTCCAGCACGGCACGACCGTTACCTCCAAGAAACAGCTGCTAGCTGTTCCAGACTTCATCCAGCCATATGTACCAAAGCCGCAGACATCCAAGCCAAGGAAATCTTTTGCTGGAAAAAGAGAGCTTGCGATGATTATCCCTGCGACGGAAACGAAGATTGTTGGGAGTTGAACTGCAACGATTGCGAGTGGTGGTCCCCAATGTTGCGGAGGAAGATCCTGGGGCTATATCAACAAGTACCGTTGCTCAGAAATCTATTGAAGGTGGATATATATCAGTCGAGGGGCGTCCACGCAGCTCGCAACACTGTTCCGTCAGCTCGCAAGGCTGTCGAGCAATGCATACGTTGCCTTCTTTTTCTCCTCTTCTATTTTCTGTAGAGTATATAGTCATATTGCGCGACAAGGTACCGAAGCTCCGAAACTGCCAACCTGTCTCGCTACATGGTGTATCTCTCCACTTAGGGACGCACTTTGGTGTTGAATCTGAGCTTCTTTCATGTCTACGCTGTTGAGAATGCTAGTCGCATATGCATCTATTCATAAACCATGTTTACAGAGCGAATGTTCAAGCACGTGAATCTCCAAAGAGAAGATGTTTGTTGGATCTATTCCGCTAACAATATATAAATCCGTAATATGCTCAAATAACAAATCTAAACGCCAGCGCAACGCGGCAGATTTAAGATATAAAAAAAGACTAGAGCCAAACCAGGGTATATATACACCTGAAATGATTGCATAACCCTCTCAACAACGGACATGAAGAGCATTCCCTCTCTCTTTATTTGACAAGCACAGGAGCTGCCTGACCCGCCTTCTCGGCAGCCAAATTTGCCAGTTTCTGCAGCTTCTGGGCGCGCACCTGTCTGAAGTAGCGGAAAAGCAGAATAAACGAAAGCTCGATGCGCTCCTTGGTCATCATGAGGAAACCTTGGACGAGCAGGCCCTTGAGAATCTGTGGTCCTATGCCCTTGAATAGCGCCATGGCGCCTTCGTGCTCGATGATATATTGCATGACTTCTGTAAAGGACTTGAAGGGCTTGCCGTTCCTAGATGGCGGTGGTTTTGACTGCAGGCCGACTTTTGCGACAATGAGGGGTTGTGTTGCGATTGTTGCGAGCATCTTGGAAAGCGAGCCGAGGACTGTTTCGTGTTAGTTTTCTCTGTTCACTCTGCATAGAAACAGAAGCCTAGGGCTTAGCATAACTTACGGAAGGCCTCCATGGGCTTCAGGTTCTTCTTTCCTGGGTACAAGACCTCGCGCAGCCGTTGATAGGCACCATATGTGATGGAGGGGTTGATGACCAGAACCAAACTCGCCCTCAATCCTCGCCAGAGACCGGTCCAACCGTCTTCACCGTTGACTACATCCATGGCAGTGGCAATCATGCCCTTGCGCTCTGACTTGCTCATGGTCTGCTGCCTCGTTGTCACTACCGCAACGGGGATAGTAAACAGCTGGGCGAGGGCGCCGGCAACGGCTCCTAGCGAAAGCTCGACAGCAGTACCGGGCGACGTTTGCAGTGCTCGGTTGGACATGTAGAGAGTGCGGACAATCGTGTACCAGTAAAAGTAGGCAAAGTTTGTGGAGGCTACGCCGAGCAGCGCACCTCCCATGCCGGCATACAGACCAGACAAGCCCTCCCGGGCGAAAACTTTTCGTATCGCATCGAGCGCACTATCGTAGTGCTCGTCATCAGCAGGATTGGTGGCGTCTGCTGTCGGAGAGCGCTTGACCTGAACTTGTAACCGCGTCTTGATCCTGGGGAATGCGTTAGCGTGTGCCTCAAGACAGCAAGAGGGCACGTTGGCAGAGATACGCACAAATCCAATGGGTAGACAAGAGTGTTTGCAATGACTGCGCCAGCTGCGCCAGCAACAGCATTACCCCATGGCGGTAGGGTCTCTACTTTGGACTGTCCGCCCATGGTAGCGGTTGCGGGAAGCGATTATCGGAGAGACGGCTCGAGCACTGCGCTGATGAACAGAGGACGCAATCGGCTATGGGAAGTGGCGGTGTTGTTGAAGTGTAGTTGCAGTTATCTCATGGCAGAGCAGCCAAATGAAGATTCAAGATGGCAGCATCGAAGGTGTAGAAAAAGTGGGCAAGGGACGATTGTGACGCTCCGCAACGCGATAGCGCGGTCGCAGGCATGGCTGACCTCTCCCGAGGTCCCAGAGGCCGAGGTTCAGTCTCGGGCCCAAGTATGACGACACACTAGAGGCGTCTGCAGCGTAGCCTCGTATTGGACCTGGGGTTGATAAGTCCAGACGCTATAACTAGAACAGTGTAAAAAAAAGTGAATGGTTTTAGAGGTTGAGAAAGAGAAAAAAGAAATCGTCTCCTGCCTGCCCCCAATTGTTCATGTCTGGCTCACATGGCAGTCGCGACTTTGTTTGGGCAGGAGCGTGCGTCGCGCTAAACCTTGTAACTCTCCGAGCAACAACACCACAACACCATCACCGTTTCTGGCTTACCTCTGACATCAACCCCCGGTGACTTTATCGGCATGACTCACTACAGGTAGCCTCGTATTCTCCGTGCCGTATTGATCAAATCCCTGCTCCCTTGCTCCGTTTTGTGCTTTTCATCATGGCAGACCGGGCCACTCAGCTCGAGGCTTGCAAAGCTGCTGCAAGCGTATGTGACATCGCAGCCAGTCCTCCCACTATAACAGTGACCCTTGAACGGCGCCACTTACTGATGTGCGGCTCTCTAGAACTACCGCTCTCAACTGGATACGGCTGCTACCAAAGATGAGGCTCTCACTTTGGCCATTAGCGCTGCTGAGAAACTCATGAAAGCGCTCAAGTTGTCGTCAAACCAGGATGAGAAGAAACTGCTCAAAGCACAATGTGGCGAAATCATGAATGTTGCCGACCGCATCAAGAAGACTGGAACGTGGACACAATCTGCGAAGCCACAGTCGAATGACTCCAAAAGCCACCATATTGGCCAGTGGGTCACGCAAGTTGCAGTAGCAGCAGATCCATCATCGGCTTCCCAAGACACTACTACACAGTCAAGTTCTTCCCGTCATGGCCTTTCTTCTGCCTCAAGGCCCGATACGTCGTATCAAAATAGCCCCAATATCAAATCCAGTAACGCCTTTGATGTTGACAGTGCAATTAACCCAAGTCTAAAGTCGTCCTCGCAACCCTGTCCTGCCAGCATACTCTCTCACTCGACATTACCCAATGTGAGTGAAGCTTCTCCCTCACGAGCGGCAGCTTCCCATCCCCAAATATATAGGTTGCGCGAGCCGGTATCAAGCAGGCAACCCTCTAAGAGGGAGGAAATCATCTTGCTAAAGGCCTCCATGGTCAATGGCTTCAAATTTCCGCCCTGGACCAAGGAGCCATCCGCGGACGAGTTCGCTTCACGTCATGGAGACGGCGACTTCATCGATATGGGTGATCTTAGTCTTTCTCCATACCAACAGCAATTCTTCCTGGACTGGCTGCGGGCCAAAGAAGCCGTACCACCGCCTTCACTAGCTTCCAATAGCACAGCGAGCATCGGGCCTTTAATGTCCAGTTCGAAACCTCTGGATCTCGTACAGGATGCGGCTTCAGATTGTTCGGTGGTCACAAGTCTATGTGCTGGTATTGCTCGTTCAGAGCGTGGGCATGAACAGGTCCGTCTTCTAGACCCAGGGCAGGTTTGGTATTGACCATTACAGATTCTCACCAACAAGCTATACCCATTTGATAAACAGCGTGGAAAACCAGTGTCATCGTCAAATGGCAAATATGTTGTGCGACTTAACTTCAACGGTTGTTGGAGGAAAGTTGTCATCGACGACCGACTGCCAGTTTCAAAAACTCACCGAGTACTCCACGTCATCGACCGCCGCAACCCAGCTTTGTTGTGGCCAGCATTACTCGAGAAGGCCTATCTCAAAGTCCGTGGCGGTTACGATTTCCCTGGCAGTAACTCATGCGGTGACCTATGGGCAATGACTGGCTGGATTCCGGAACAAGTCTTTTTACAAGAGTATGCTACATATATTCTTGGACTTGCTTTGAGGCACGCTAACTGATTTACAGGACGGACACAGTCCCTGACCAGTTATGGAAACGCATCTACAACGCTTTCATGTATGGAGACGTTTTGGTCACTGCAGGCACAGGCAAAATGTCAACTAAGCAAGAGCGCGAATTTGGACTCGAGGGCCAACACAGCTATGCCATACTCGACATGAAGGAGACGGACCACGACCGGCTGTTGCTCGTCAAGAATCCATGGATCGAAGGCAAGGGTTGGCGTGGGCCTCGTCCATCTGCAGTAGCTGCCATGGACAACTCTACTGCTGGAGAGCCCAGTACCAGTGTAGAGGTTTATCACAGGGACAGCGTTCCGACACAAGATCGACCTCACCCAACAACGTTCTGGATAGGGCTCGAGCAGGTTATACAGCATTTTGAGAGTCTATATCTCAACTGGAATCCCGGACTTTTTCGTTATCGTCAAGATATCCATTTCGAGTGGGACATCAATGCGTCAGCACCAGCCGGATGCATAGTCAACAATCCACAATTTGCCTTTACGTCCAAAGGTGCCGGCCCCGTCTGGCTCCTAGTGAGCCGTCATTTCCGCGATGCACAAGAAACCACAAAAGAAGAGTCGGACGTATTTAATGATGGCAGTGTTCGTCACGACACTCAATTTGGCGGCAGCGGAGAGGCGCCAAAGGGTTACATGAGCATCTATATCTGTACTGGACATGGAGAGCGGATTTATGTCAAGGACACGTATCTGGAATCGAGCGACTACGTGACGACGCCTCAATGTCTCCTCCGTAGCGACATGGATGCTAACACGACGTACACGGTGGTGATTGACCAGGACGATTTGCCTCGGTCCAAATACACATTTTCTCTGTCAGCATTTGCCAATACACCCATGACACTTGAGCCAGCGACACAACGACTTCCGTTGCAAGAGATTCAAACCGGAGCCTGGACAAGACAGACGGCAGGCGGCGGAACAGACTCGCCCAACTACTTTGACAATCCTCAATATTCACTCCATGTGCGCGAACGCGGCTCACTAGCGATTTTACTGACGAGTACAAATCACGAACATCCTTTACACGTCAAACTTGCGTTTGGACACGGGAAGAGGTTGTATCGACTACAAAGCCGGGATGTGCTTGCAGACTCGGGCAACCACCGCAGTGGATGTGTTTTTGCCGAGATCAAGGATGTTCAGCCGGGATACTATACCATCATCTGTTCGCTATTTGAAGCGGGACTGACTGGGGACTATACACTGCGAGTAGACAGTAGCAGTCAGGTAGGGTTGACGCCGATAGCGCGGGACGGAGCAGGGCTGCTCTCGATGAAGCTTGCTCCAGCGTGTTTTGGTGCACATGTACACAAGGTGGCTGCACCACTTCGTCTGCATCGGCTGGCATCATACACAATCATTGCGCGGTTCTTGAAGGCAACGAGCCCTCGGGCGATGGATCTGGGCAAGCTAGCGCGCAGCCCGCTGCGGCTGAGTGTTGAACTGGGACGGGGTCCAGAGCGCAGAATCATCATTGCTAGCGAACAGGGGGAGTATGCAGACTCAGCCACGGTTCGGTCCGAGAGCGTCGACATTGACCCGATGGACTGTAGGCAGGGGGATGTGTGGCTTGTGTTGGACAGGTTATCGGGCCCTAGCGGACCAGTGGAGGAGTGGTACGACGTGGAGATGTATGTCAACACTCCCCAGGCGTGTGAAATTGGGGTTTGGCGAGACTGGGACGACTGATGGAACTTTTGCGAGGGCGCTTGGTGCTAGTGGATGGATGACCGTCTGCATTGCCGATCGCTTTGGTCAGACATTAGCCCCATGTGGGCAGGTTGAAGGTCAGGATACGTTATCACTTGAAGAGTAGGGGATATGGGTGGGAAACATGTGTAGCGAGCTCTCACACGCCTCATGGAACTCTGAAGACGCCACAGTGCGGTGAAACATGGTAGGGGGCGGTGGGCGGCGAGTGTAGATCCAATCAAGGGGTGCACGATCTGACAGTGCATGACCCTATTGCATGTTTCGTCTTGCCGCAGACCGCATGATGGACGATAACGGCGCGCCAAGCGCTGCAAAGCGGACCGGCAACCGTGTGACCAAAGCGCTTGTTCAGGCCGTGTATGTATGCGAGCACGATGGTATTGATGTGTGTTGTACTGTGTATGTTTGTATGCGCACGAGTGTGTAGAGAGAGTGTGAGGGTGAGGGTGCAAGTGTAGTGCACCAAGGGCAAGTAGCGTCTTCTCCACGGGTGGCTAGGCCCCTACCCCGCTGCAGCAAGGTTCAAGGCTATCGGCTGCGCTACGTCAGTCAGTTCCTCCGCGCGCGCGCGCTAACACTAAGAACATTGCAAAAGCGCACCGCCTCAACACCAAAACCCCAACCACATCCCGACCCTTCTCCGCAATATACCTCTGGCCTCTATCACCACCCGACACCACTCATCTTGACGACCGCATATACATATATACGCCAAACTGCCATGGCGGACCTCGCCCCTGAGAAGGCCCAGTCGGCCTCGGCACCAGCGTCTACCCTCAACTCTGGCGACAATTCCCGAGCGCCTACTCCTTCAAACGCCGCCGCCGAAAAGGCTCCCGATGATAGCTCCAAGTTCAAGACGTTTTTGGGCATATTGAGGAGGTAACGTTACACCGCTTAGTCGCTGTGCTCCCTCAGAAGACTGACTGTGTGCTGCTTGTAGGTTTATTGGTGTCTCTGACCTCGCTGCTGTCCGATTCTCTCTTCCCGCACAACTCCTCGAGCCCCGACCCAACTTGGGTATGTAGACTAGATACCTGGCCGCGATACACATGATCTGATGGAATAACAGAGTACTGGCACTACTTGGACAGACCCGACACATTCATCAGGTCAGTGCAGCTTGCATGCTCCCATCAGGAGAAACCACTGACTCGTGCAGCATCGGAGACTCAGATGACGATCTCGGCCGCATGCTGGGATGCCTGCGCTTCTGGTTCACCAAGGACCTGGTATGATGCACCTACAAATCCCGACGACATAGCTGACACTGGCGCAGAAATACGTCAAGGGCAAGCCATGCAAGCCCTACAACTCTACCTTGGGCGAGTTCTTCAGGGTATGTGGCTGGAATAGCTTCGGATAAAGCCGCTTGCTAACCCTTGCAGTGTAACTGGAAAATCGAAGACACGCATCCCACGCTCAAGACACCCAACTCGGCTCCCACGAGCGCTGCCAGTAGCACCAAAGGCAGTGGCAAGAAGGTGACGGTCTCCTACCTTACCGAACAGACATCACATCACCCCCCGGTTTCAGCTTTCTACGTCGATTGCCCAGAAAAGGGAATTAGTGCACGAGGATATGATCAGATAAGCGCAAAGTTTACTGGTACGAGCGTGCGTGTTGCAGCTGGGGCTCACAACTTGGGAATCTTCATCACTTTAAAGAACCGCGACAACGAGGAATACCAACTCACCCATCCAGCGGCTTACCTGGGAGGTATCCTACGAGGTATGTGCTCGCTGCTAGAATTGGCACCGACCGACTGACCGGACGAACAGGCTCCTTGAACGTCTCCGTCGCTGACAGCTGCTTCATCACCTGCCCAAAGACTGGATTGAAGGTCATCCTAGAGTACCAGGAAGAAGGCTGGCTCGGCCGGTCCCAAAATAAGGTCATGGGAGTCATCTTCAAGTATGACCCAAATAACGACACCATAACAAAGATCAAGGATGTTTCAGACAAAGACGTTCTTGGCCGGATAGAGGGCAGCTGGCAAGACAAGGTTTACTACACTCTCGGGAGCAAGCCCTTTTCCAAGGTCTCCGTAAGTACATTGAATAGGGATTTGGCTGCCAGCTCTTAACACTTGAGCAGGAGAAGAACCTCATCATCGACCTTAACCCACTCGACCCCGTCGCCAAGGTTGTACCGCCAATCGAGAAGCAACTTCCCAACGAGTCTCTCAAATTCTGGGAGGGTGTCACAAACGCCATAGTAGGCAGGCAATATAACATGGCTACCACCCTGAAGACCGAGATTGAAGAGAAGCAACGGCAAAAGGCTGCGGAGCGCAAGGCAGCCGACAAGGAGTGGCAGCCGCGATTCTTCACCGGAGCCGTCACGCCTGTCGGCAAGCCGGACCTTACCAAAGATGGTGAGGAGGCGCTCAAAGGTCTCCATGAGGAAAATTATGACCTGCCGCCAAATCAAGAATATGGTGCTTTCTAGGCGCTACTCTCTACACCAATTTGCATTTGCGGATGACGGGCGCGAACTAGACTTTGAATACCACGTCCGCTACCTCGTCCAACACGATCGCGTACGAAACATGCCACCCTCGTTTGAGATATTACCTCACATACTGGGAACGCTCTTTGTTGGTTAGAGAGGAGCATGGCTTTGTTGATGGCGTTACACATCTATTCTATACTTACCAAGGGGGCCTCGCAATCATGTGTCTTTTTGTCACGATTATTTACGAATAGATTTCTAGACTGCCTGCCTAAAATAGGCTTTACTGTCTTCATACCCTTTCACTTGGGGATGCTGATTTTGAAAAAAGAAAAAAAAGAAATCCAAAGCAACATTCAAGTCCACACGCAACAATCGCTTACAAGATTTATGGAGTTATGCTGATGGCAAGGTTTCAGATGGAAATTGGAATCCTAGTGAAGGGTATAAGAAATATCTATTAGCATGGTTTGTATACCATGTGCTGGTGTCTATTACTATTTGATTAGTATCACTTGGCCTCCGTATCCTTAGCGCCGTACTCCTTTCTCTCTTCTCCAATGGTCCCGTCCCTGATATCCATATTCCAAGTTCTTCTGACAACAAACAACATCAACATCCAACAACAACCCCGACATCATCAATCGCAACACTCCAACCCCCATCCCCCTCAGCCCCATACCCCTGCACCGTAACCGCAACCGTATGTCCCACACCACCCGCCCCCACATCCTGCACAACTACCTTCCCCCCAACCTTCACCCACTCCTCCTGTCCCTCCCCAACCTCAACCACACCCCCACAACTCCCCCCATCAAGAAAAACCTCCACCCTCGCTCTTCCTTTCCCCGCCTCTCCCCTTCTAACCCACGCATAACACTCCACCGTCTTTCCACCCGCCACCTCAATATACGACTGCGACAGCGTAAGTGTAGACAAGATATCCGCGCTGCTATTACATGAGGCGATGTATGCGGTTGCGCTGTTGTGGCCTCCCGGGTTGTCGCGTGAGAGGGTGCGCGAGGAGAAGGAGCCTGTGGCTAGGGAGAGCCAGGGGGTTAGGTCTGAGGGGTTGGATTCGAAGGAGGGGTTCTGGAGGAGGTTGTTGGGTGTGCAGGAGTTAGAGAAGGGTAGGGGGGAGGCGAGGGTGGTTGTGGTGGTGGATGTAAGGAGGAGGGTTGGTAGGAAGAGCATGTTTGGTGGTGTATGGATTGAGTTCGGGATTCGATAGTGGAAGGTGATGATGGTGGTGCGAGTTGTTGGGTTCTTCCCTTCTTTCCCTTCTGGTCCAAGTCGAGATTCGAGAATATAATTGTGCCAGCGAGGTGGTTGGAGTCGGGAAATGGTGTTTTGTTAAGTCGCGCCCGTGGAACGTGTTACAAGCAAAGCGCAGCTAGCCGAGTTGTCCTTTGCAGTCCGAAATCGTTTGTTTTGCCGAATAGTAGAAGAAGAATGTATCCGAGAGCCGTTTTTGTCGTACAAATAATAGTACAAGTGTAAAAAAAAAAGTTGCGAATGACGTCTTGTTGTTAGCCCAGTTTCCTCACGGTCACCTGTTGTCGCAACTCCTTCATGTGCCCCGTCCGCGTGAGAGACAAGCAGAGAAAACCACGAGGTGCTGAAGAATGACGGAATAAAAAACAAAAGAGGAAAGAATCTCGTTTAGATGCCAAATGCAAGGGAGTGACGTGCCGTCTAGGTCTATTCTAGAAAGAGAGAAAACAGGAACAAGGGGAAAGGAAAGAGGAATAGTGAAAAAGTGATAGAAATGGGTATTTAGCAATGTAAAAACAAAAAGTGTTCACATCTACACTCGTAAATACCACACAACACATCCCTACCCTCTCCTTTCCTTTCCTTTCCTTTCCTTCCCGTCTACAAACATCCTACCCACCGCAGTCAACTACGCAACTCCCCCAATCAACCCCCCTTCCCCCAAGCCAACCTACCTACAGCCCTTCCATCCCCCATCCCCAAAACAGTCAAACAACCGACTCAAAAAAGGGGGGGGGCCTACGGACACTTGAAACACATCCTCCCTCTCAATGTCTTTCTCGCCCAGCAAATCCAAGATCCGCATACCACTTCAGCCCATTAACTGGCTCATCCATAGAAACACGCCAGCCCGCCAACCCGGCACCTCGCAAGCTCGCTCGTCGGCACTCGTAGCGTCGGACGCACGTACCCGTGCGTCGCGGTGGTGGGAGCCAATAGCGGGGCTGCCATGCCCTCTTACTGGGGGGGGTAGGGGGGCGAGATAAGCGAGATTTACGGGCTGGGGTGCGTGTGTGGCGAATGGGAAGTGGTGTCGTCGCGCATACTTAAAGAGTAGAATAGGCTGTGGGAAGGTCGGAGGTTTATTATGTGTGTGGCGGATGGGGGGGCTGGGAAAGGGGGGAAGGGAGGGAAGGGGGGGGGGGGGGAAACAAGGTCAACGGTGTTTGTTGTGGTACAACAACAGTCATGGTAGGGATAGGTGAGGGAGAGAAACGTTGCGCAATCATCGGACTTTGTTAATTGAGGGTTTTTGGAGAAAGTAAGGCTAGGTATATACAGCTAAAAAAAAAAGTTGGAAAAACAACAACCGCAAGGCATCTCGAATATGTACACCGTTTCCATCGTTAGCGCTTGTATAAACTTTGTTTAGTTGTTTTGTGTTTGTGCGTGTTATCTCGATCAGAAGATTTATTTTAAACCCAAAAGGGCGAATTTCCGTGCGGGAAAAGCCCAGTTGCATTTCTCTCTGATTTAATAAGCGTTGGCGGACCACTGGTTGACGGTGAACTTGGCGGGGCCACCGGTGAAAGCCTCGGTACCGAACTGGTAGGCTATCATGGCTGTTAGCATATTCTGCATCATCATCACCACCAACTCGTCACTTTAGATTAAAAAAGAGAGAGAGAGAGAGACTTACTAATGAGGTTCTGGCTGGTAATAGGGAAACCCTTGTTGTTGGCGAGGTACTGGAAGAAGTCCTTCATGCTGGCCTTGAAGTTGTAGATGGGGCCCGAAGGAGTAACGAAGCTGTAGACCTTCATGTTGCCGTTGAGGCCGTAGAAGAGTTCCCATTGGCGGCCGGCGACGTTGACCATCCCTTGCGAGGATCCAATGGGGTACACATCGTACCTGCCGAGCCTATAATTGTCCCAAACGTTAGTATATGTAACAGTCGGGATTTTAGGAATGTAAATAAATGATGCAAGACGTACCAGACCATGAGCTCGTAGTCACCGCTGCTGGTGGGGTGGTTAACGTTGGCAGAGGTGAAGAGATCGTAGGCAACATTGCAACGGATGTTGTTGGTGTCGTAGACCCAGTAGGCCTCAGTCTCGAGGTTGTTGTACTGGCTGACGGGCTTCTTGGTGATTTGACGGCCAGAGTAGACGTAACTCTTGACATTGTCACGGCCACCCTGCCACTGCCAGTTGGAGGTCCACTTGGCGCCAGTCTGGCTCACGCTGTTGACATAGGTGCATTGAGATCCAGAGGTGGCTGAGCTGCGGCCCCAGATGTTGTTGTTGAGCTCGTAGCCGTTGCTGGAGTAGTACTCGAAGTCCTTGCAGAGGGTGGCTTGCTGAGCGGCCGTGAGGGAGGCCAGAGCACTGAGAATGAACGATACAACCTTCATGGTGGGCGGTTTGTGGTCGACGGTTGATTGGCTTGGAAAGATTGTCTGTTGTGATGCGTGCTGTTTTCCCTGTGCGTATCCTCGACCTTTTGTACTTGTCTATAGTTGCCTTCACCACTCCACATGGTCTAGGATCATGACTTTAGACGGTGGGGAAAACTTCAGTGGGTCCTCATATAATTCAGTCCTCCATCAGTCGCGATGCTTCCCTAGATTCCGACGGCGTCTCCAGAAGCGACCACTCGAACAAGTTCTATCCCCAGCCTCATGGGGGACCAATTACTCATGTGAGCAGGTCCTGGACGGAGAATTTAATATGAATGGCCAATCATACGTCGCGTCGCTAACCCACTTGTATTACCTGCATCGGCGAATTCGTCTCCGCACGAACAGCGGCCTGGGAAACAACAGGTAATATCCTGGATATCTGCCGTCGTGTTCTCCCGACTACCGGGCGTTGTTCTAAATGCGCTCAAGTTCCAGAAACATACCCCACAATTCTACGACCGTGCTTACATGATGGTTTCCATGTTTTTCCTATTTCGGCATGATTCCAGTACCACACACGTGGGCCGGGGACGATCTGCTCTTCACGTCTAGCTGTTTTTCAAGCTTCTAGAGTCATGTCCCTGGCTGTTCAATGTTCCAAGGACCGGAACCGTTCCCGGTTTTCCTGTTTCTCAGTCGCGGTGGAAGACGACGGATCGGACTGGAATACCCTTCAGAGCAGTAGCTCTCTCTTGGGAGTATTGGAGGGTAAGCAAGAGGACAGCACAGATGCAGAGCCCTGGTAGTTGAAAGCAAAGCCATATGTGAACTGATCCTATCTGATATGCCATGGACGCAAGAGTGGGGAGAGCATTGTCACGAGGACCTAGCAAAATAGATGAAACTGATCCCTCTAGGCGCAACGGGGGTGCGGGATTGGCCGCACGTCGATGCAGGAACCCCTACGTACCTTAATATCGAACAAGATATAGAGTGCCAACGCCATTAATTCTTTGAGTATCTCCTGCACTGTAAAGGTAGTTTACAAGCTCTCGGAAAGCTCGCTCTGATGTCGCATCCGCCAAGGCAACGGCCCGGGGTTTGGTGCGGGGGTCAGCACAACCCCAGCTCACTCTCACCCGCGTTGCATCATCTGACAATGTGCCTCCACACGGTCTTTTTTTTCGCTGCCGTGGTAATTACGTTGTGAATGCCATTCTTCGACCGCAGGAAAAATTCCGCTCTACTAACGCATTGGTGCCGAAATGAGTATCGTAACCGCCCGAAAGAAGTTCCAGTCTCCAAGTACAACTCTGCAACCCTGGTATGCTGGGGTGTGTTTCATTTACAGCCTCTTAAATGATTGTTGAACACCGATGTCTACATTAGTTTCTCCGCATGCCAGCCCTCCATGAAATAACCCTTGTTCGCAAAGGGACATTGAGCACATCGCGTATAATGAATGATTTTATCAATATCACAAGCTCTCCCAAGCTTTTGAATTTAGAAATCTTCTCTCTTCACAGGGTTCGGTAGTCGCGCCTTATTTGGTGGGACGGTAAAGTGATCTCAATCCCGAACAGTTGGCCCACTCTTGTGCGTTGAAACATGTTTACGCCAATCTAGACTCGCTTGGTGAAGGTGTAGAGGGAGAGTTGGCTAGAGCTACTACTGACTTGTCTTGACCCACTCTATGGCTTCGTATTCGCAACGGTTTTTATTTCCTTTCGGTCTTACTGATTGGACCAAGCTTTTTTGAGCATTTCAACCCTGCACGTATACTTGACCCGTTGATTGCGACTGACAATCTTAATTCGACGTCTTCTGTATTGATATATGAAGATACTTGCAGTCCATGCGATTTCGCCAGAGTTGTAGCCAGGCAGATGGGATCACTCTCTTCTCGTGCTATTGAGCTCAAGTCGCTGGGAATGATACTTATGGCTATATCTCAAGGCGCAGCAGCAACAAACCACTGTTCCAATGTTGGGTAGCCTCTACGCAAGACTGGCGAACCGAAATCGTATCATTCGTATCCACGAATTGCATCTGGGCAACGTTCATCACGGCCCGTCTGACACGAGATGCTTCAATCTGAGGTAGCCTAGTGGGAACTAGCCGAGATGGGTTGCCATGATATTAAGCGCGCACCACTTCTTCTATTGAGGCCAAGCTTTCCGCGATACGAACGTGACGTCGTTTCCACAATTTTGCTCATGCGCACTCAGATAAACAAGATGTCAATCTATGTCCGAGAGTCATCCTTCTTGTCCGAACTGTAGGATTTGTAGGGAGCTAACATTTCGACGTGTCTAGATGAAATGGTGGCATTCGAAGAACAATCAGGCGACTGTCAGCACACAGAGTTTCTTCTGGGTTGCAGGGCTTCCATGTCCCATGGTCTGACCCTTATGAGATGCACCTTGGTGCCCGACATCCAGTCAAGACACTCAACTGATGCCAGGGAACTTAGGAGGAAGCTGTTTGTATTTATGTCACATCATCATATTCAACCTAGCATCTCTGTATCTTCCCCGTTTCCCGACTTACAACCAATCAAGAACCCTTACCTCAAAGCCGCCCCTCATATACAATACTATCGCTTCCAATAACCTATCCTTGGCCCTTAGCTAAACAATACCCTCTCAACACTTTTGCCCCTATCCTCAACATGACCTGACCGCGGAACGGCTACGGTGCTATTCCCGGTACCAACAGCTTTACATACATGTACCGTGGTCTGGCTATAGTATATGATCCCAGGCGCTTAGGTGGCCTGTGTGTACACTTTGGGGTTCTTGCAGTTGACTGGCGTGATATATCTTTGTATCCCGTCCAGGGTCGCAATGGGGACATGGGATGAGTCTATCTTGGCGACAGTAACTTTGCGCCTAAGTTCTTCGTGGCAAGGTCGGTTGTCCGCCGGCATTGTTTGTCTTCATGTTGAACACATCATATCTCCAGGTACTGTTGTACCATTTGTGATAATGGGCGCCTGTCGGGATTTTTTTGGTGAGTGCTCGGGATAGGTACCGGTGTATCAGCCTGAAGAAATACCGGCTTGTTGAATGTAGGCCCTACCGTCATCATGCACAGCACAGTGAGTGTTCAATACTGGCGTTGGGTTGTGCTGTCCCCTGTACATCAGGGCAGTTGTTTTGGGTCATTTTGTTGAGGATTGCAGATATTTTTACATTAGCATAAATATCTTTTATCGCATCTAGTATACTTGAAGTCTGAGTTGCATGTCTGTGGTCGTTAACCTAGTCTCTAGCCATTACTGTAGGTTCTATGCCTGTCTCTCAGTTATGATAGCCTTTTGCAAATACCCTGTATTAGGTTTAAAGCTTTATCAAATCAACAAATGCTAGACTAGCCAGCCTTTTTTCATGAGACTTTTCTGCAATGAATGGGGATTAACAACTACCCCTTTTATTCATCGCGGTTGTTTGAACGTGACCCTCTTCTGTCGATCCAAGCCAAACCCTTCAGCCATGAGATATTTTCTGTTTGGGTAGTTCACCTGTGTCCTTGCATATTGAGCTTGTGTTCAGCAGGTCGAAAATTAGACTGGACACATGAGACATTTGATAGAAAAGAAGCTGTTAGTCTGGTCATATCAAACGACTGTCAATTTAGACAACCTCTTTTGATAATTCCGAAAGACGAGCTTGGCAGTGTTCTCATAGCGTCCATCATACGTAGGTATAAGGCGTGTTGGCACTTTATGAAAATTACTCGCTATTGATCTGCCTTCTCAACAATAATATTGTCTGATATTGAATCAATCAAGACATGCAATAAGCTATTGACACTCCTGTGTCGTTCGTTGTTAGAGCATAAACTCAGCCTAAAGTTTACTCTGGGCTTCCAATGCGTGTATAAGAAATAGGACGATTTTTTATGTCACAGTAGACTTATAAGACAATGAAAGGCAAGATACCGCTTGTGTAGTCTTCTGGAGTGAGCCCCATTGAGGTCTGACCGACGCTTGAAGGTAGCAACCGCGTATATATATACGTGAAAGACTGAATCACGGCGGACTGTTTGTCGGTGTCAGTTTTCTCCAAGAGATGCAAGTCGACAGTTACGGAAAGATCATTTAGACCGAGTCTTCCCAAAGCAGTTGGAAGACCTGAGCCACATCGGCCGGATTATTAAAAAAGGTACGCGATAGGAGTACGTGTACTAGCGTATTCCGCGGGTTTGAAACACCATGAAACATCTCGGAAGACTTTGGAAGGAGTGGGAACTTCAAATAGAAGAACCGGGAGGCGCGGAAGCGGTATTACACAGCAAAAAAAAAGAAATTCAAAGCTCATCTCCACACTACGGAAAGTGCCAGCCACGGATATCAAAAAATCCGGCTAGATTATGGTTACAGGTGTGACCGAATGGTGATGGCAAGTTTACTCAGACGGAATAGTAGTGCCGGATACGCGCTATTGGGACTGCATTTTAGTGATTGGCGAGGTGATCTTGCAGGCCCTCTGACTAGTTACTCGAGGGGTTCGTATCAGGAATTGTTCTAGGTGTCGACTAAGAACGCCTCAACAAGTCCTTGGGTTCATGGTAATTTGAGAGGGTACCTAGGTACATAAACGGCCTTCTAGATAGACACGAACGGGACCAATTTTCGTTGACCTGCGGACGGGTACGCGCTTCTTCTGAATCTTAGACTTGAGCAGCCACTTTTACACATATGCACATTTGCATCATCAAAACAAGTTCCCAGGCGCATGAAACTACAGTGTATAGTGAATATATATATTTAGATTAAAACCAAGACATAAGAAGATAATGCAAAGAAGCTGCCAAGAAGCAGCACGTTTCAAGCAAACTCACTGTTGTGAGCACAGCCCTGGCAACAATTCGGTCGAAGTGGCCAAACGTCTATATGAAACACATGTCGTCGAGTTGGCGAATGGCAATACTTAGTTTTGGCGGGAATACACCTTTTGGGTTAGACTAGTTACTGCCAAGCTACCGAGCTGTGGAGAAGCAATCCAACTTGGGATTGTCAAGTTGAGATTATCCCAGCGGGCCCTACCGCGTTTTTTTCGATAGACCATGACGACACATAGTAGCATGTACCTGATTTGACTGGCTCTAACTACTAAACACACAAGTACATAAGCACAAACGACGGAGTAGGCTTGGCAATGTTGCCTGTGCACTGCGCCCTTCACTCGACCTACCCTCTCTCCTTCGACGTGCACCGTCTGTCAGTGCCTACGGCACGGCGAATTACCACAACAGCGATTCAGAAAGTATGTTTGGCGCCAATACAACATGACACCTGCCTCCCAAGCCCGAGATGATGATGTCTGGAACATCCACCGTTGCCCCATCGCTTTTTCCAGGCCGCCACCACCAAGACTCCGTGTGAGCCTCCGTGTCAAAAGTAGTGGATGCCAACGACGTTGTTAATGCGCACAAGAGATATTGACGTACATAAAAAAAACAAGTACACAAGGCGCCCACATACCACAGCCCTCGATAGAGCCGTTGTTTGATCAACGGCAACAATGATATTTGCACGCATGATTCATGCCCACATGTTCGAGAACACAGGACGTAAAAATTTTTGCACCTCGAGCAATCCATCCTAAGGCGAACAAGGGCGATCGAAACATTGTGCACTAGACGCGTTCCGCCCAGACGGAGGAGGTCTTGGTTTCATCTGCACCGTTAACGATTCCCCCATGGCCCATAGACAGTCCAAACGGCGGACTGCGACTCGTATTAGCGCTAGATGGCTGTCACCCGCAATAGCATTTGCATTAGCCGCCTCGTCCCTGTTGTCTTTTCTAGGCAGACAAGCGAAGTAATCAATAATTTCCAAGCGACATGACTGATCTCTGGACCCGTACGCTTGTGTAGGAAAACAACTGAATAGTATAAGAAGTAGCTGTCCACCCCAGAGATGAAAGGGCACGCTTGACGCTCAACTTCTATTCATTCTACATATTAGATTCGGTCTTTGACTTGTTCATTCTTTTCGACTTCTGCTTTGAATAGCCACTCTTTCACAAGACAGGTTCTACACTCGACCAATTCATCAATCAACCGCCCATATCCTCACTCAAAATGAAGTCCTTCATCTCTGCTCTCGCTTTCGCCGGTGCTGCCAGCGCCCACTGCACCATCTGGGGTGTTTCCGTCAACAACAAGGACCTAGGCTACGGCAACTCTCAGGGTGGATACATTGACACGCCCCCCAACAACTCTCCCGTCACCGATGTTACATCCAAGGCGATGGAGTGCAACGTAGCCAACATCAAGGCGTCCAAGTCCATCTCTATCAACCCTGGTGATGAAGTCGCTGTAAGTATTTGTGTGCCGGAGTTTCGGATTGAAGACGTGCTGACATGACTAGGTCCAATGGTTCCACAACGGTCCCGGAGCCGGCGACCAAATCATTGATGGATCTCATAAGGGACCAATCAACGTCTACATGTCGAAGGCTGGCTCTTCCATGTCGTGGACCAAGATTGCCGAGGATGGATGGGACGGCAAGTCGTGGGCTGTCACCAAGCTCCGCGATGGTGCGTACAACGGAAAGAAGGGACAGCACACATTCAAGATGCCCAACGTTGCTGCCGGAGACTACATCATCCGTCCCGAGATTATTGCTCTCCACGAGGGTAACAGGCCTTCGGGTGCCCAATTCTACATGGGATGTGTAAGTTGCCGAGTTGCATGACGTGCTTAGTAACAGACGCTGACTTGAGGTTGCAGATTCATGTCAAGGTTGGCGGATCCGCCAGTGGCTCTCTTCCTGCCGGTGTCTCGATCCCAGGCTACGTCACCGCTACTAACCCTGGTGTCTTGTTCAACATCTACGGCTCATTCCAGAACTACCCCAACCCTGGTCCCAAGCTCTGGAGCGGTGCCGGTACTGCCACTGCTGCTGATGCTGCTCCCGCTCCCGCTCCTGCTGCCGGTGCTCCTGCTGCCTCTCCATCTCCCGCTACCGGTGCTCCCTCTACTGAGGCACCTTCCAGTGAGGCTCCCGCTGCTGAGGAACCCGAGGAGTGCACTGACGATACTGCAGAGCCTGCTGATGAGCCTGCTGCTCCCGCTCCTGCTGCTCCCGCTGCCTCTGCTCCTGCTGCTGCTCCCGCTACCGGTGGTGCTGAGGCTCAGAAGTGGCACCAGTGCGGTGGTCAGGGCTACACGGGCGCAACTGCCTGCGTTTCAGGCACCTCGTGCGTCAAGCAAAACGACTACTACCACCAATGTATGTAAATTGGCATGGTGGATGACCATGTTGGGCGAGTCCAGAGGGACGGGTAGTATCGGTGGGCGGTATTTGTGGAGAAGTTTGGCTTGTAGAAGTTTGTTTCTATTTGCTGGTGGTGTCAAGTGTCAAGTGGGCTCGGCCGCGTAGGGCCGGGCTTGCGCACCGCTGGTTTTCGATTCTCATGTACATATGTAAATTTCACGACGAATTGGATGAAAATGCCTCTTCGGTTCAATGCCTGTGCCCTTTTCCGACATGGACCTCGTCATGTTAGTGTACCCACCTCTGCTGTGTAAGGACCAAGAAGCTCGTCAGTGGCCAGGGGGCTACGTGTCTAGAAGCCCCAGGTGCCACGCGTGAAGAGCTACGTCTCAGATCTAAGCTGACCGGCCAACCCGGCAATGACATGAGGGGCCATCGGAGAGCGAGAGAGTGAGGCCGTGTTGCAAGGCTGTGGGTGCAGGCTGTGGGTGCAACGAGAAGCGTAGCATAAACATGCCTCAGTCTGAGGCCGTTGTCGGTGTTAGGAGTTGATGGAGGGCAGTCTAGACCCGACTGGGGCATCAAGTGGATGCGATGGCGTGCGCGTGACTAAGCCGAGGTTATCCGCGCGCCCCCGGCGTGCGTCCCCAACATTTGTTGCGCCGACACTCGGGGAAGCGTCCATCCAGACCTACACCCACACATGCATCCATACGTACCTGACAGCTCATAATACCCCCCAGCAGCCACAGCACATCATGTCTTCCACTCGCTCATAACTCGCTCCTTTTGCTTCCGTCCGCTCGAAACTACGCACATTCTATCAACACTGCCATCATGGTCGCCCCTTCTTGCGCCTGGGTCCGCGTCGGCCTGAGGCGCATCCCTAATGCCCCTTCTCGCAACACGACAAACACATCCAACTTTGAGCGCGCCCGTCTACGAATTCACCTGTCCAACACCTCTCGCCGCTACAACAGCACCGGCTCAGACGGAGCCCAGGGCGCCGCTGCCACTGCGCGAACCATTCCCGGGCCCAGCTGGCTGTGGCTCGATCCTATTGTTGAACCTTTTCGGGCATATGGTCGCGTGCAGCAACGGAGGCCATACATGACCCAATTGGTGTCGTCGCTCATTATCTATTTCATCGGCGACTGTGTTGCCCAGAGCATCACTCAGCCTGAGCCCTCTGCCCAGCAGCAGGAGGCGGCTGACGAGGCCGACGAGAAGGGCTGGGTGCAGCAATGGAGCGACGATCGTGACTGGACCCGCACCATGCGAGCTCTTTGCATTGGAGGACTGAGCGCCATCCCATCATACAGGTGGTTTCTGTGGTTGTCCAACAGCTTCAACTACCGGTCCAAGACGCTCTCTCTTACTATCAAAGTACGTTGCAGTCTCTTCCTAGAGCGCATGCGCTTGCAACAATACTAACAACACGCCCAGGTCTTCATAAACCAAGCATTCTTCACCCCACTATTCAATTCCTACTTCTTCGGCATGCAAACCCTCCTCTCCGGCGGCACCTTTCCCGAAATCATCGAGCGCATCCGCAACACGGTGCCAACCAGCTGGTGGAATAGCTGCAAAATCTGGCCCGCAGTAACGGCCTTTAGCTTCACCTACGTGCCCATCCAGTACCGCAGCATCTTCGGCGGTGTCGTGGCAATCGGCTGGCAGACGTATCTGAACCTGCTCAACCAGCAAGCTGCTGCTGTAGAGGAGTTAGAACGTGCGGCGGGACACGTTGCACCACTCAGCGTCCGCTCGGTGCATACCCATGCAGAACATGGCCAAGTCATGCAGAAATGCGTTGCTTAGACGTCATGCTTTTGTTTGCTGGTCAGTCATGCGAGCGGTATTCCGATGGAAAAAAAAGCACCCAGCACACCCTCTCTTTCTGTGGCTGTGTTCGGAACTACCGTCTCTCGTTCTTTTCCGGTCGAGCCACTAGGCTTCCGCTTACATTCATTAACTTTAGCTAATCGTTCGGATCAGCTAGCCCTACAACTTTGTTTTCTTCCCTTCCTTTTCCTTTGTTTTCCAAACCTCCATGGGCACAGAGAGAGGTTTCCTCCGGACCCCGGAGGGTGGAAGAGAGGGGTAACTCCGCCCTCCCACTTTTTTTCTTTCTACTATTTTGCATGATAGACGGGCGTTATGTTTTTTTGTTATTATTATTGCATTTGCATTTGATACCACGAGCGCTCAGTCAAACTAGAAATGCGCCGATAACTTTAGAATTTTTTACACACTTGTATACAATTATCTGAATTCATTATTATATATCCTTTGAAACTTTTCTCATGAGGCACACTTGATTGAAGTTTAACTTTTTCTTTTCTTTTTCTTCGTTTGCTTTGATCTACCGACGCTTCTTTTTCTTTTTCTGCTTGTTTGCCAAAGAAGTTTATTTTAGTTGGCCGGGCGAACGCAAACACCTCCGGCTCGGGATATACCGTACTTCGGGACCCCCTCCCTCCTTTTCCCCACGACTAACGAACAAGAGTTTATTGACTTTACACCTAGCGGTGGAGGAGGGGCCAAGTATACTAATGGCTGGGAAGCGAGACGTCATTTCCACACTTGTGTTGAGTTGGCTTCGAGTGATATATGCAGTTTGTGCATAAAGTGATGTGCTGTGCTAGACTGTGCTGGACAACCACGGTTTGGCCATTTCCCCAGTTGATGCTGGCTAAATTGCCGGGAGGGTTTGGAAATATTGGGGTTTGGTGGTTCCCTGCGACTCCTTTTTTCCGGGTTGTGCACTGTACTGATACTGTAACGTCCGTCCCTCCGTTCCGGGACGCACGGTGTGACGGGACACCTTTTCTTCCGGATGCTCGGGTTGCGTGTAACGTACTCAAAAATAGACAAACACAATGCGTATCTATTTTACAGCTCTTGCTCTTCCAGTATATCACCCTCTGACGCTGAAAAGCGTGTTGTTGACTATGCTATCGCTCATTCTGTCAGTGCTGTTTATCGACTCTCCTCTGATACACCCTTGTTTGTTCGCGACAGCATAAAATTCTATATAGTTCAGTAGGCTAGAAAGAAAGCTAAGATGGCAAAGATCAAGACTGCACACTTAGAGAGTCGACTTAACGTAAGGAGTGTGAATCTCGGCAGTTTCTCCGCGCTGGCGACAACATCGTCAAAACGCGACAAGCCGGCCGTGCGACTTTAGCGGCGTTTGGTAGCGGTAGCGTGCTGAGATATCTGCGAGGGGTTGCGCGCTGTGGCTGAGAGCTGCGGCTCTCACTCATCGCCTGACCTTAGACAGCTCTTATTCCCGGGCCGGTAAGCAGCCGCCCCCGTCGCATAGAGCCAGGCGAGACGCTATAATGATAATCTTCATAGATTAGTTAGCTATTTTGCTAGCACCTTATCTATATATGCACTCTTCTGCCATAAGTTTGCAAGGCAAACACTGCCTTAGCGTAAATAGTGAGGGGAGGCAGTGCAGGACGCTGGGCGTTTGATGCAGCCAGCAGCATCTTCAGCCTGGTTGCGTGCACTGCCTCACCAGGCTGCCTTCTCTGCTTTATCGTAAAGATGCCATTCTACTCCTGCTAACATTCTGCTCTCACTCATCTACTACAAAAGTTGTTTATGCCTCTAGTTCTTTAGACTAAAGTCCGAGCTGCAAGCGCCATGCGGCTCCTCCATTTAAACGCACTGGGCAGACTGATCCTGACAGACTTTCGCGGCAAGCCGATACCGCCCTACGCTATTCTATCGCACCGATGGGGCGACTCTGAGATTCTTATTGAAGACATATTTAATGGAAACTACAAAAAGAAAGAGGAAGGCTACCAGAAGCTACGGTTCTGTGCCGAACAAGCAGCTCAGGACGGGCTGCAGTACTTCTGGATTGACACATGCTGCATCGACAGATGGAACAACAGTGAGCGCTCTAAGGCGATCAACTCGATGTTCCAGTGGTACAAGAATGCGGTACGATGCTACGTTTTCTTGTCAGATGTGTCGGCGTCGACCTTGACCTCGATAGGGTCTGTCTTATGCAGGGATTGGAACATATCGCTTCGGCGGAGCAAGTGGTTCACTCGCGGATGGACGCTGCAGGAGCTGATAGCGCCAGCATCTGTGGAGTTCTTCTCATGCGAAGGGCAGTGGATAGGCGACAAAACCTCTCTCGACCAATTACTGCACAGCATCACCAGTATTCCGCCTGCAGCGCTGCGCAACTGTCCCCTCAACCAGTTTAGCATATCTGAGCGCATGCGATGGGTTAGCGGTCGCGAAACAACCGAGACAGAAGATATGGTATACTGCCTGCTTGGACTTCTTAGCGTCTCTATGCCTGCAACCTATGGCGAAGGAAGGGAGAGTGCGTTGGAAAGACTGCAGGCTGAAGTGGAGGGAGCCGGCCTCGCACCGTCGATCATTCCGTTCGCGCGCAATAAGTCTTTTGTGGGTCGTGAACTACAGCTCGCTGAACTAGAAGCGAAGCTCTTTAGCAACACACAGACTACCTCGACGCTTGCAATAGTTGGGTCTGGCGGAACAGGTAAATCGCAGCTCGCGCTCGAGGTCGCACACAGAACACGAAAGAAACACAAGCATTGCTCAGTCTTCTGGATTGATGCGAGCGACAAAGACAGTCTCGACCAGTCCTATACTAGTGTTGCACAGAAGCTCAGCGTTCCTAGTTATGACAGTGACCAGGCAGACACAGAGCAGATTGTGAAACATTGCATAGCAAAGCTGAGTACGCGGCAGTGTTTACTAATTTTCGACAACGTTAAAAACACAACTGTCCAGCATAGTGGCTCGTCAACGGCAGAAGCTGCAGACTTGGCCGACTTTCTGCCGCAATCTAAGCTGTGTTCTGTCGTTTTCACAACAACAGAAAGCGACACGGCTAAGACGCTTGCTCCACAGGATGTGGTAGCACTGCGTGAGCTGACGTCAGACACGGCGCTGAGGATGTTACAATCCCGTTTGACAACGCCGCTCTCTAATGCTGAGCAGCCAGGAGCCATACGCTTGCTAAGAGAACTATCGCACCTGCCTCTAGCAGTATCGCAAGCGGCAGCGTGCATAAATGCAAGCAATATAACAGTACAGCAGTACCATGCACGACTACACGAGCACGACAAAGCAGCTCTTAAGCATAGCAATAACTTGGGTAAAGGCGAGCAAGGAGAGTCTAGTCTAAAAAAGGCTGTAGCTGCTACACTATCTCTATCTATAGGTCAAGTCTGGCAGAGTAATGCTATTGCTGCAGAGCAGCTTTACATTGCTGCGTGCGTAGACCGAAAGGATATTCCGCTCGACCTACTTGAGGCAGCTTCGCCACAGGCCCGTGTAGATGCGATCATGATACTTGATAGGTATGCGCTTATCACAAGGCGACCTGCTGAGTCAGCATTTGACGTACATCGATTAGTGCACCAAGCCTTACAAGAGCAGCTGCATATGCAGGGACGGCTTCATGAATTCACTCAGCGTGCAGTCACGCGGCTGCTCCAGGTATTTCCGAATAACGATTACAGTAACAGAAGCAAATGGAGGCGACTACTGCCGCACGCTCAATATGCACTATCGCATAGTGAGAAGAACGATAACGAGGAGAGAACAAATCTTACAGAAAATTGCGCTAGGGCTTTGCAGAGCGATGGACAATATAAGAGAGCTGAAGAGCTCTATATGCAAGTGATGGAGTCGAGGAAGAGAGTACTAGGTAGCAAGCACCCCGACACGCTCGTTAGCGTCAATAACCTTGGGTTAGTGCTAGAGGATCAGGGCAAGTACGAAGAGGCAGAAGCAATGCATCGACGAGTGCTAGAAGCAAGAGAGAAGGTGCTTGGGCGCGAGCACCCCGACACGCTCACTAGCGTTAGCAACCTTGGGTCGGTGCTAGAGAAGCAGGCCAAGTACGAAGAGGCAGAAGCAATGCATCAACGAGCGCTAGAAGCAAGAGAGAAGGTGCTTGGGCGTGAGCACCCCGACACGCTTACCAGCGTCAGCAAACTTGGGGTAGTGCTAGAGAAGCAAGGCAAGTACGAGGAGGCAGAAGCAATGCATCGACGAGATCTAGAAGCAAGAGAGAAGGTGCTTGGGCGCGAGCACCCCGACACGCTTACTAGCGTTAGCAAACTTGGAGTAGTGCTAGAGAGGCAGGGCAAGTACGAGGAGGCAGAAGCAATGCATCGACGAGATCTAGAAGGATCTGAGAAGGTGCTTGGGCGCGAGCACCCCGACACGCTCACTAGCGTTAGCAACCTTGGGTCAGTGCTAGAGAAGCAGGGCAAGTACGAGGAGGCAGAAGCGATGCATCGACGAGTGCTAGAAGGGTACGAGAAGGTGCTTGGGCGCGAGCACCCTTACACGCTCACTAGCGTTAGTAACCTTGGGTTAGTACTAGAGAGGCAGGGCAAGTACAAGGAGGCAGAAGCAATGCATCAACGAGCGCTGGAAGCAAGAGAGAAGGTGCTTGGGCGCGAGCACCCCGACACGCTCACTAGCGTCAGTAACCTTGGGTTAGTGCTAGAGAGGCAGGGCAAGTACGAGGAGGCAGAAGCAATGCATCGACGAGCGCTAGAAGGATCTGAGAAGGTGCTTGGGCGCGAGCACCCCGACACGCTCACTAGCGTTAGCAACCTTGGGTCGGTGCTAGAGAGGCAGAGCAAGTATGAGGAGGCAGAAGCGATGCATCAACAAGCGCTGGAAGCAAGAGAGAAGGTGCTTGGGCGCGAGCACCCCCACACGCTCACCAACATCAATAACCTTGGGTTAGTGCTAGAGAGGCAGGGCAAGTACGAGGAGGCAGAAGCGATGCATCGACGAGCGCTGGAAGCAAGAGAGAAGGTGCTTGGGCGCGAGCACCCCCACACGCTCACTAGCGTGTACTGCCTTGCTCACCTGCTTGCGACGCTCTGTGACTACAAGGAATCTCTTAATCTGTACAACAGGGCGTGTGACGGGTACAGCGTTGTCTTTGGAGAGCACCACCCTACTACCCGAGCATGTCGCCAACACCGTAGCGAAGTGCTTTTGTCATGTAAGCAGTCTTGACTAGCAAGTTTCAGATGGAGAGGTCGAAGCATAGAAGCCAAGCGAGTAGTATTTAAGTAATTATCTAGCTAGATGCATAGCTTTGTACAAGGGCAAGTAAACCTGCCTTCCTCTTTTACCTTACTAGTGTATTTAGCAGCATAGCAAGTTTGTTATAGAGTATATTATTATACCAAAGTACTTAGTAGCTTCGCATAATAAGGGTTGCGCGCACTGGAGATTGGGAACTTAAGACTATGCTATGATTAGTTACTTGTAGCGTCGGGAATAATAGCAGCCCGAGATATCACTTTCAGCGCTACAACCCCCAGCCACAGTGCGCAGTAAGAGTTGCAGACATCTCAGCACGCTACTGTAGCTGAAAGCTCGCTTAAGACGTACGGCCAGGTAGCTGCGTTGTGACGATTCTACCTTTCGCGCGGAGAAATTGCCGGACTGCACACTCCATGCCTTAAATTGACTTTCTAGGGCGAGAGTCTTCATCTTCGCCTTCTTGGCTCGCTTTCTAACCCGCCGAGCTCTTGGCGGATATACGTAGCCGCAAACAAGCAGGGGGGTTCTTAGAGAGGGTTGGTTGACAGCACTAACAAAAAGAGCGACAGCACAGTTAGCAACGCGTTCTCTGATGTCGGACGGGGATGCAGTAGGAGGACTAGTGCTAGAGTATACATGCACATTGAACCGGCCAATTTACATATGTTGTGTGAGCATGCTGGGCGTCCGGAAGAAAAAGTGTCCCGTTACACCGGGCGTCCCGGCACGCGAGGATTGACATTACTTTGATGATTGGGGGATCCCGGAACTGTCGCGTGCTGGTTCCGGACTCCGACCTATTTCATTCTTCTTCTTCTTCCATAATGGCCTCGCACTGTTCCCTAAGCTCTTGCACACCAGTCACCCCATTCCACTTATCCAGTATCGCACTAACCTCCTCCCACTCCTTTTCTGCCTCCTCCTCGCACTCCTGGTCAACCAGTATCTGCAGCCGTCTTGGTGTGTCGAGCACCCACTTTACAGTCTCCTTCTGCTTCCGCTTCTTGTCTGCCTCTACCCTGTCTTGTTCTCCCCGCATACTGATTCCTAATCCTTCTTGTTTCGGTTGGTGGGTCTCGTGCAACGAAGACGACAGTGCCGTAGCTGTCTCGGCAATATGCGATATGGCAGGCCCAAGCGTGTGCGTGGTAGGTGCAAGAGGATCCATGTTGCCACGCATGCGGCGGATGGTGCTGGTAGCAGAAAGTAGTTTGGAGTAGTTATCGTACACGAGAGATTTGCGGTCGCTGTCCAGATTCCGGATTTCTATTCCCGTGGTTAGCTGTCCGTTCTTTCTTTCACTCTATGCTTGTGTTGGACCAACATACGTGATATCAAGTCTGCTTCTACTTTCAACACACCCTTGAGTCCCTCTCTCGCAAGCAGGCTCTCCACGTAGGCTTCTGCGTTGAAGTCCGAGGCATCCAGCTCCGTCAGTGTCTCGTCTTCCTCGGGCCCCAATGGGTTGGTCGTCGTTTCCTCGGATATCCTCACATCGGTGCCTACGTCTTTGGGTGCGGGTTTGAGGCCATAGAATTCGCGCAGAGCGGCGCGGTTGCGGCGGGCGGGCTGCGGGGGTGGTCGGTGCGACGAGCTGCTGTCGATGGATGTGCGGGTTAATGAGGGGGTGCGGATGGACGAGCTGGGGCGGGGAGAGGCTATTGTCGACATGTTGTTATATGTGCTGTAGGATTTGGGGGTTTAGGAATGTTTAGAGTGTGTACGTTGGAGCTTCATGTCAAGGGCCGAGGAGCCCCACGTCATTCTACGCGTCGCGTCGGCTACATACTGCAACTGTTTCACACATGGCTTTTGCATAAAACTCACAAACGTACAAGATTCCGATCATGGCGACTAACATTGCAGCTGAACTAACACGTCATCTCAATGCCCGCCATCTCTATCCTACGGCGGCGTGGCTCGAGAGTTTTCTATCCACCACCCGGCCGAATACACCACTGCCCGCATTAAAGCAAACATTACTTTTCCGTCTACTGGCAACCGATATCACAAAATCACTAAGTCAGCCGCCCAGCTCAGTATTTCCTAGCGATGTACTCAATGGAAATACACAGTCCCGCATCATTCCTGGCCCTGTTGTCTGCCAGGTGCTTGACATTGAGGATATCGGACACTCGCGCTGGTCCCAAGTCGAAGCCATCGAAGCAAAAGACCGGGGCGAGACGACCAAAGGAAGAGAAATTGTGCGCGTAGTCAAACAAGACAACGAGGCTGCTACCGAGGCTACGGCGCCTGCGCAAAGTAAAGGTCCCTTCAAGCTTCTCCTTCAGGATGCCAAAGCCTTCAAGATTTATGCCATAGATCTAAGAGGCATCGATGGCCTCCACACAAACATGGCCATGGGTGCGAAACTTGTTTTGAAAGACTCTGATGTAAGAAGAGGCGTTGTTATGCTTGAACCAGGCAATATTCAGGTTCTGGGTGGGAAGATTGAGGCGCTCGACAAGGCTTGGAAGGAGGGGAGGAAGGAGCGGCTCAAGGCTGCAGCCAATTCGCTAGCACAAAGCGCGGGGTGACGAGACTGTAAAACCACAGCCTGCTCTTCCGACAACCACGCCAGCTTCTCTCCAGGATAAACCATCAGAAATGTTCTGCGAAACCTGTATCGGTGTTCTTCAGCACCGCCGTCATGTCATTAGCTCCGCAACAAGCCAAAGTGAGCTGGATGATTGCGGCAAAACTCTACCATTTGTCGAGGTAGGTTAACAAATCATAAATGGTCAAAGTAGGTTTTTGACAATATCACAACCAGTGTCTTCACCATTTAACGCGGAAATCATTGGTTATATCGGCAGAGAATGGGTGTCCTGTTTGCCGACCCATTTTCGACAGATATTGGGGGTTTGAACGAAAATCATTGCGTGATCTTGAATCTAATGACATTGGAAACACCAACGGTGATGCTCTGCACCCAGAATTCATCACTTCTGCTCAGTTGATATTTGACACGATACCGGAATCAATCGTCTTTCTTGTCCAGTTTCACAGAGAACTGTTCCCCGAGCTTTCACACAGGGCAGGCATGTTCATGCTACAAAAGGATAATGGTATGTTTCTCCTCCACAAAACTAGTGCGTATGCTGATCAAGCAGCAGGCGAATCGGAGTGTGATGTTTACGCAGAGGGCGACGTCACTGCTGACCATACCTCTTCTAATGCATCATTTGAGCTGGCTTCCATGTGGCTGCGAGACTGCGTTCAATCACACCCGCGATGCAATTCCCATAAAGATGGCACATCATGGTATCCAACGCGTCTTTTGCATCTAGTTGAGTCTGACGGAAAGGAGGGCTACGTGCGGCTCATACGCACAGCGGAGACGTCACTCAATGAACATTATGCTACTTTGAGTCACCGCTGGGGCAATACAAGACCTCTTCAACTTACAAAGTCAGCGGCGTCCGATCCAAATCACCGCTTTTTGGTGGCTGAGATGCCTAGAACGTTCCAAGAGGCCATCCAAGTGTCCAGAAGACTCGGGATTCAATACCTGTGGATAGATTCCCTGTGCATTATTCAAGAGGGAGACAATCTTCGCGATTGGTATTATGAAGCAGGTCTAATGGACAAGGTATACATGCATTCCTACCTCAACATTGCAGCAGCAGATGCAGACGACGGTACAAAAGGACTTTTCCGACACCACCCCCCATTACCTCTAGGTTGTCAGCGTGTTGCAGTCAATACAAAAGAATTTGGATCAGGAACAGGCTGCACTGACTATTTAATGACGGACCTTATGCTGTGGTTACACAACTTGGACAAGTCTCCTCTTCACAACCGTGGCTGGGTTTTTCAAGAACGTTTCCTGGCCCCGCGTAACCTTCATTTCTTCCGTGATCAGCTTTTCTTCGAATGCAACGAGCGCACCGTATGCGAGACATTTCCTAAAGGGCTCCCCAGTGTCATCACAAAGCTTACAACTGCGTCCATAAAGTCCAGGCTTTGGAAACAAGAAGATCTTTCTGTATTACCTGATAGATATGGGGAGGACTTGAGAAACCTTTGGTACAGTGATGTTGTTTCCCAGTATTCTCCTATGGACTTGTCGGTTTCAACCGATAAGTTGATAGCCCTTTCTGGTATAGCAAAATTCTTCATGGCTCGTCTTGAAGATACATATGTAGCGGGTATGTGGCATAGTCAGTTGGAAGACTCGCTATTGTGGTCTGTTAGTCCTTCGGGCCTACTTCCTCGTCCGTTAGTTTATCGGTCACCAACTTGGTCTTGGGCATCAGTGGATGGACGCATACGTCCAAATCTGGATTGGGAGGATCGAGAACTACTCATACATGTGGAGGATGTTGTACTATCCCATGCAACCGAGGATACTACAGGCGCAGTCACCGGAGGTTGGTTAGACCTACGCGGGGTTCTCAAACCAGTGAGGCTGTCCAAACCCGAAAGGCTTCAAACAGTATTGTGTATGGCCTTTGATAGCGAAGCTATCTCCCAACAGGCTGAAACCACTGAAGATGATTCCTCGTCAACGATATATTTCTTGCCAGACACTATGCAGGACACCAACTGGGTTGAAGATAACGCACAAAAGCGTCTATTCTTTACGCCCTGTATAAAAGAAGACACATCGGGGTGGGCTCATGGACTTGTGCTTAGACTTGTGGACAAGGAAATGACGTTGTTTGAGAGAATTGGTTTGATCTCGACTGATACGCCCGCTGAGAAGGAAATGATGCTGGCAGACTTGAGCGAAGATACAAAGGCTCGCCTGCCGTGCCTACGCTATGAAAATGGGCTACATACCATCCGAATCATCTAGACTGGTATGAAATCTTGGTCTTGTTCCGATCGGCGTGCCCAGATGGTCAAGAAGGCTAGACCTCAGGGTCTCTTTCCAGATCGAGCTAGAACGACTTTGACAAACGCTTGGCCCAAGACGGTGCCGTTGTTCAGGGTTCAAAAATCTAGATCTTAGCCACTGCTATGCGGGATAAGCGGGGCGAGATGCGTTTGCCAACCACTCAAGTCAAGTTGGCTCCCAAGCATCTCATCATACGAACGCGCATCAGCCACGAGACGCCCAGGCGCCCAGTCAGCCGGTGACGTAGCGCCAGTTTGTTTGTATATTACTGCACCTTTTCCCCCCACCGCAGATGCAAGTTTGCTACGTCAGATTTACATATCTAGACTATTATTCTTGGTCGACTGCCTTTAACCAATCACAATAATTATGGCTACTACAAACCAGAGCGCACAGTTCAGAGGTATGGTATCCTGTTTCATGCCACCCTTCCTGTTTTGTTCAAGAGTCTCGCCAGAAGAAGAAACCACGAATGATTGATTGGTAATGAGGCCATAACATGCTAATACATTGTAGAGCCACCAGTCGGAGCTCTTCCTGAAGCCACTAGCACCTTTTCATCGCAATCCGACGTTAGTGCTCAATTTCAAGGTTCGTAACCCTTGTCAATGGCCTCCAACTCCAGTGTGCTTTCGTCGGCTGTGTCGCTCCCCAATACAGCCTTGGACAGTTCACTAATGTATATCTGCAGAGCCAGTCACCTCCCACTCTTCTACCGACTCGTCCACGATAGATGATTCTATCAACGATGGTCCTGAACAACATAAACCCTTAGGTGAAAAGATCAAGAACGTGTTGAAGAAACCTTTTTCGTCGTCATCATCGACATCAGGCAGTTCAAACAAGCTCGGGGAACAGGAGATTACGTCTCCTGAGATGGAGGCTGCAAAAGAAGTGCTTACGGCCAAGGACTTGAGGTCGCCATAGTAGTGGTGGGGGTGAACACAGCCAAACGAGATGCACTATTTTGTGGATGCAGGTACATGTGGGTCCAGCTGCAGAGTGCTATGGTGTCTCATTTTACTTTCTTTTTCTTCTCTTTTTCAATAGCGTGGTACCAATCAGGAAGCAAATAAATTGTATCATTTTCCGAGCTGGCGTATTGTGAAAAGCAAAACTACTCGGACTCCTGTGGCGGTCTTGGTTGATTATTCAGGTCAGGTCTACTTTGCAATACATCCCCTCAGCTGATAGGCATATTTTCCCGTGTAAAATGCACCCTCTTCTGCAGTGATGAATGAGTAAGCACAGAGATAGACATGATCATGAACCATACTACATTTCAACGGAGAAGAGATATGTCAGAAAGTGAATATAATAAGATAAATAAATACATAAAAAGGCCATCATTCACATAATAGCAAACCGCCCCCCCCCTCCCCCCCCTCCTCCTGCCTTGCCTCACAATTCATCTTTCAACCCACAAAAGTCCGCATGAAATCAAAATATTCATACCCATATATTCTCCACTCTCCCCAAACCATCAATCTACGAAATAACCGTCTGGTTGAGATACAAATCGCAGGTATGCGGGTTCTGCAGACAATACTTGGGCATGAGAGTGGTAGCCTGCACGCCGTTCGCAACCAGGTACTCCCTAAAGTTCAAGATGCGCTGGGTCAACTCGGTAGTCCTCTTCTTGCCATCCTTATCCCTATTTCCCGACCACACGAGTTCCGCAAGCGCGGCAGCACGGGGCCAGATTTTCTGGGAGATAACGACCGAGTCGACTTGTTCGCCGAAGAGGGGCGCAATGGCACCTTGGACCAGGGATTTTTGCTCAGCAGAGAGACCCTGAGTGAAGTCATAGTCGTAGATGCGCTGCCATGTCTTGTAGGGCGCGCACCAGGATCCACCGTTGCCACCCCAGTTGAAATTGGCGACGCCATCGGCGGCATTGGGGTTGACCATGACGTTGTAGCGGGGGTCGTTGCTGACATAGCCGCCGTAGCCGCAGTCGAGGTACATAAAGTCTGAGCTGGAGACGATGACGCGGTAGCCCTGCGAGGTGAGGTTGGAGATGTGGTCGAGGCCGTTGTTCCAGGCCTGGAGGATGATGTCCTTGGGGACGTTGCCGGTGGCGGCGACGGAGGCGGAGATCTTGACGTCTTCCCACATGATGAAGGTCTTGTTAACTTGAGAGCGGAAGTTGGGCAGGGCGCGGTCGACCCAGACTTGGTAGAGGTCGCCCATTGTCTTGCCGGTGGCGAAGAAGTCGCGGGCGAGAGAGGAGAAGTTGTTGCAGTTCATGAAGAGCTCGTCGCCGCCAATGTGGAACCAGTTGTCGGGGAAGATGGTGGCGAGTTCCTTGTACACCTTGCCAGTGACTTCGTACGTCTTGTTGTTGAGGATGTCGAGCTGACCCGGGTTGGGCTGCACGGCAGTGTGGAGCGGCCAGTCGTCGTTGGACCACCAGCTATCCTCGCAGGTTAGGATTTCCTTGTCAATTTCCTCCCAGCCAGAGCTGGCGTGGCCCGGCATGTCGATTTCTGGGATGACGCGCACACCGCGGGCACCGGCGTACTCGACGATTTCCTTGAGAACGGATTGAGAGTAGACCTCGTTGGCCGAGTAGGCGTCCTTTGTCATGTCTGGGTACGATTTGATCTCAATGGGCCATGACTGCGTGTCGACCATGTGCCAGTGAAGGACGTTGAGCTTGGAAAGCGCCATTCCGTCAATCTGCTCAAGGATTTTGGCCTTGGAGATGTAGTTGCGGCCAGAGTCAATCATGATACCGCGGACAGGGTAGAGGGGCTTGTCGTCAATGGAGACGGGCTGCTCGATAATCAACTTGCCTGAGCCGTCGTTGATGACGATTTGCTGCATGGTGGTCAAGGCGTGGAGAGCACCGTAAACGGTTCCAGCAGTGATGTGAACGCTGCTTGATCCAGCGGCAAGCTCAAGCTTGTACGACTCGTCGACGCCATGTTGGAGCTGGGCATTGGTGTCGGCAATATCGACCTTGACTGTGCTAATAGTGTCCGTGCAGTTTCCAGCAGAGACAGTAGGGGTATTCCTCCTCTTCTTCTTGGACCCATTCTTTGGGAAAGGTTCAAACTCCCTCACCGGGGCCTCGATACCCGCAGGGATCCACATGAGGTCGGTGACGGTCTTTGTCATTCGGCTGAATGCATCAGAAAGCACCTTGTTGTCGGGGCCATCCAGAGTGATTGATCCGACGGCAAAACATCCTGAGTCGCCCCAGGTAATGCTGGCAGGCTTGGGGAGAGGGTTGACAGCAACAGCTCCAGTTCGTCGGGCGAACAGGGCTGAGGCCGTCAGGACTGAGGCTAATGTGAGGTCGCGCATTGTTATTGTTGTTGTCGATGTCGACGATATACCGTCGAATCAAAAGGGACTACACGCTGAAGGACCAAGTATACACAGCAACGAAGTGAGGTCAGGAATCCAGGCACTTCGTCGATGAGTATTAAACAAAAAGGAACGAATGTGCACAGCCGCGGGATTGTTATATACCAAGGTGGAGAGGTGGTGGAGAGGAAGGGGCACTATTTCAATGTCTGCCGCATTGACAAAGGCCAACCTTTCACGGCGCGCAGCTGGGGTATTAGGCCAGTCATGCTAGTCCATTCACTGTCAAGGTCGACACAGATCACGGCCTGCATGATGCGCCATCGGGAGCGCGCCCCCCTGAATCCGTGCTAGCCAGTCGGTCACTCAGCCTTGCTGCATAGCGTAACCCACACCCAAGCCTCTCCACTGCAACCCACACCCATACTCGCCCCCTTTCGCGCCGTACCGCGTGCCTGGTGGCTGTCCTGGTGTTGCAACCCTATCGTTGCTCTTCGTGTCGGTTAGCACACTACTGCTAGTGTCCCTGCAATGCCACACTCCTTCTCCGCATCCTATGATATCTGAGACATGGCAGTCCTGGCATTGGGAGGAGCTGACTGCTGCTTGCTGGGGGGGGGGGGCTTGGGGAACATGATCACCCCCCGCCACCCGACTGCAGATCGCCCTCTGGCGCTAGAACAAACGGCTGGCACTCGGAGCTCGCTGTCATCCTACCTTGTGTAAACATGCCCTACGTCCACCAGCCTTTGTCGGAATGATTGGGCGTACCGACAAAAGTCCCTTTAACCTTCTGAGGTGAGCGTGCACGTCGCGGGCCGTTTGTTGTGAGCTCTCGCGTAGGATTTCAACCTGGCCGGGTGCATGACGCAGTCGAATGAACAATGGCATGTTACTTCGGAGATTCTGCTGCCATCCTGACCAAAGAAAGTGTCAAGTAAGATGCCCGTGCCGCCCGTCTTCGGCTGTGCGCCTATGGCGACTGCCGTGAGCGTTGAATTGGCTATACTATGCCTTGCAGGACTTTCTTTCATAGCGCGTGGTGGGGTGCAGGCAGACTAATGTCACGTGCTGCTCTTTATATGCACCTAGTCGACAAAGATGCGTTGTGAAAACAAACGACCAGCAGATGCAGTTCAGCGGTGCGTTGGAATGCAGAGCAAACGCGCAGGCGCGCGGTACGGACAAGGAGATGACGCGGATACTGCGTGTCACCACATCATTGCGCAAGGTCTGTTGGGCTGATGAGCATGGTTCAGTCTGCCGTTTCATACAAGCCATGGGTCTTGGGAAAGCCAAGCAGTCGGTCCGTCAGTCCAAGACGACGCACTCGCACTGCCATGCATAAAGTTCAAAGAAATTCACCCACAACACTATTATTAGATGCGAGTAGGTGTATGTATACCGCCTAGCTGACTCGATTGAGTATTCGTGTCACCAGTGCCGTTAATCTATGCTGTAAGAAATGTCCTCATAGTCCAAGTGATTGGCTCTCGACATCCGTGGCATTTGTTTTTACCTTTGATAAAGTTACCTCCGTGTATGCCTGCTTACTATGTGGGCCGAGTCCAATTATACGATCGGAGCACCGCGGAGCCCTTACGCTCAAGTACTATTGCATCATCGCAAGTGCAATCATTCAGCTGGACGCTTGAGGCGCAACATGCTCGGTACTTGTCGTATTGAATCCCGCCTGCTGCTTGAGCAAAGCCCATGGGGCCGCGGGAACGCTCAGTAGTTTGCAGACGTCCCTGCGACGGTTCTGAAAATCTTGGTACAAACCCGTCCATATCCGTCTTTCAGCGCAGCTTCCTTCGCCGTTCCCCCTGCAGTCGGGTTGCATCTCCGAGACACTGCCGCCAGGCCATGTGAACCATGGCGGTGGCAATGGATGGTCGCTAAAATGTATGACTTTGGCTTCTTTGTAAACTTTCTCGGCATCCCATTTCTCGTCGGCGTCACCCAAGTAGTCTGCATGCTCATGCTTTCGGAACTCTGCCGTGCGAAGAGCATACGGGCGGTGTGGCAAAACCAACGCACTCTCCTCATATCGTTCGTTCAAAATCTCCATGTCGTATCGATGCATCCTGACCAGCATGCTGTCACCACCGCCTTCCATGAGTATTTTGAATTTTTCCAGCTGTTTCGCATTAGGTTGAATCACCATAAGCTTCGTCGACAATGGCCAGGGCTTGCTGTCGGTCCAGTATGCACGCGGCATGGCTATTGGCGTAGGAGGGAGGAGAAAGAGCTCATCGAGAGGGCTGAGAAGCGTAATGTCTGAATCCAGAGAGATGACACGGTCGTAGTACTCGAGAGAAAAAGCCATCAGCTTGGTAACTGTTTCATCCCATAGCCACTCAGCTGTAGTAGCGTTAGCCATGTATCTACAGTGTCGGATTTTAGCAAGCCTGACATACTCTCTGTTCGACCGGCGACCTGAAGCGGTTTGACAGGATACAGCTTGGCTTTGTAGACATCGCGTGCCAAATTGAGCAGCTGACTGTCTCGGTCTCTGGAGCTCTCTACAGTCGTGTCCCAATGCTCAGGGTAAAAGAGAACACGGTCCGCCTTGCTACCAAACCGACCAAGCGCATCGAGCACCATCACGGCGTGACAGAGCGATGCGCTATCGGTTGCATAGACGCTGTATGCATAGTTTGACCAGTTGATCTTGACGACACCAACCGTCTCGGGTACGGGCTTGTGGGTTGGGTACAGCACCCAACATGCGAATACAAAGCCGATGATGTAGTACACGTATTGACGGCGCATGCGGAATGACGGCCATGCCAGCTTCTTCTCAAGTCGCGGAAGCTCGTCTGATCGCCGTCGACGCATGGCTGGATGGGTGTTTGCAAGGCACTGACATTTCCGCGCCGCTGCTTGTGAGATTCACGTCGACAGGCTACCGGTGACGCGCAATCCCGGACTTTACAGGGCGAGTGCCGAGCATGCACCATACCGAGCTCGGATCCTTCATGTCAGCAAAACCCGGACTACTCCTTTACTGTCTACATATTAAGTACAAGGACATCTATAAACCTCCTCATCAATCGCTCTGGCCATTGCTCCATGTCAATCGCATATGCATCGACATGGCAGCCAATGCTGAACTATTGCAGAGTGCCGGCGATTGGCGCATCACACTACTTATTGAAGCCTTGGCCCAACCACCAAGCATCACGGTCTGCACGAAGACACCAATTCAGATGTGGCAAGACGCATTGTATCATTGCCCTATGCCAGAGTCACTTTTATAGTATGGTATCAAATATCCCAAACGCCGTAGCTGTGCAAACTCCCCCGGTTCCGAAACGGTAACCTCGAGGTTGGAAACATGATCCTCATTCAGCTATGTAGCGCCCTCTATGGCATGTGTCATTCATCGTAATCCTCAAGCACATTGTGCAAGCATTTACTCCTCAGGAACTGCATCTTGTTAGCTGACCATGTCTTTTCAAAACTACCCGGATCACAACTTACTCTCAATCTCGCCGGCCCTGATGTCGTCAGAGACATCCTTGGGGCTGCGGCCGTCAACCTTGCAGCCAGTGCTGAAGGCAGTTCCGAGGATCTCAAGGGTGGTACCCTTCAGGTCCTTGGCCATGGACTTGAAGCGCATGGTACGGGCAATGCTGATGATCTCATCAAGAGGAACGCTCTTGGTGTGCTTGATGTTCTTCTCCTTCTTACGGTCTCGGGGAGGCTCCTTGAGGGCCTTGATGACGAGGGAAGAAGCGGAGGGAACGACGGAGACGGCGGCTTGACGGTTTTGGATGGTCAACTTGACAGTGACACGGAGACCCTTCCAGTCACCAGTGGCCTTGGCGATATCTTCACCGACCTCTATGGGCTTGTTAGACTGATTTTTTTCGGCGGTGTCTGCGTTGGAGCGTTGAAAACGTACTCTTGGGAGAGAGACCGAGAGGACCAATCTTGGGAGCGAGCGCGGATGAGGCACCGACTTCACCACCGGTCGCACGGAGGTGAATGACCTTCACCTCGGAGGGATCGAACTTGGGAGCTTTGAGTATGTAAGCGCATGACCGTGTAGAAAAGCCTGACTGTCAAAGAAGGCGAAATCTCTCGTGGCCAGGCGCACACTCAATTCGGTGTCCTAGCCACACAGAGACTTCGCTCATCTTTGCAGAAGCCGACCAGAAGGATGATACTCACGCATGGCTAGTGCTTGAGGTAGTCAATCGGTTCTGGTAGTAAAGAATGACTGCCGTGGATATTTTGGAAAGTTCGTAAGAGGCAGGAACTCGTGGTGGGGGACGACAATATTGGTGGTCCTGCGGTGACAAGCGAGCCTTGGCAGCGCCTTGCCTAAAGGGCGATAGCCGCTTTGTGCTGCACATCTAGCTTGCACCACAACTCCGGGCGTTTACTCTCAACATCTTTGCACAATCAATGTAGACAACTTTTGACACTTCTAACTGTATTCACGCCAAACAATCACAAATTTCTTGCACAATGACAACAACATGCCAACACAACCATGACCTGCTTCACCATCCTTGGCCATCAAATGGTCGGTCATGAATGATGAATGATTCCATCTATCTATATTGCCTATAAACCCACTTTGCTGTATCTAAATCACCAACACTAAAGCAACACGATCGCACTTGCAACAGTGGTTCTTATATCCCATTATATTCATCTATGCGGATGCTGCGAAAACGAACATCACGGAACATCCCAACCGCTTCTTCCTGGAAACGTACCGCCAACCAAGCGTTTCTTTGCAAAATACGAAAAGGCTGATAATCGGCGTGAAGAGGTTGCGCAGGACACCAAGATTGGGAAGGCCGATATGACGGCACCGAAAGCGACTCCTAGGACCGTGTAGTAAACATAGCAAAGCGCGATTGCGCTGTGAGGGAGACTACATGGTATTTGCCACCCTCCGAGATACACGATGGACGATTGTTCCAAAAGGTGGGATAAGTCCACATCAAGGTTATTGAACGAAATGAAAATATTATATTCTCTTAACAAAAAATGATATTAATAGCCCACAACCTGTAATTCTTACCCATCTAACAATCTAGCCCATGTTTATTGTAGGCCATACTGCTCAGGCCACTGCAGGTCTGAAACTGAGAATTGTGGAAAAGTATATGGCGGGATGAGCATGTTTCCCACGTCCATTTGCGCACTGCCAAACATCTTCTCAACATCGTTCTATTTTCTGTATCAGTACTGAATCATCACGTTTGAGCGAATCGACTTACCCAGTCAATTTCATTGATGGCATCCATGGGGTTGCTGCTTGACGACTGAGGAGTCGTGCCGTATGTTGCAGAGTTCGGACTGCTGTTATTGCCTCCACTGTAGTGATCCATACTGGGAGGATACGCGCCAACAGGGTTAGGGACGTAGTCGTTGTATACTGGCGGCTGCGCAACCGGGACGGACGCTGGAAGATCGATAGTGCCCCAATCCACGCTTGGGATGGCACCGGGAAAATTGTTTACTCTAGGGCCTAGTGAAGAACCATGTTGTAGGGTAGGTGGACGCGCTGGTTGCACAGGTAATTGTGCGGGTAATCCCTCTTCCATGCTATGTGGCGGAGGGCCAACACAGGTCACAGGTGGTGGTGAAACTTTCTGACGGTATACCTGATCTTCTTGGGGTTGTTGTCTAGATTGTGGTGGCGCATTTGGCACACTTTGTGCATTGTTCGGGGCGCGAACTCGTTTCATATCAGAGTATTTCTTGGTTTTGCCAACAAGCTCTGACAATACTGATTTCGTCTTTTCCTCGTTGGAAAGCCCTGGAGGGAGATCGAGCGAGTAATCTAGGCATCTCCAGATCCGTTGCTCTATGATAGGGTCAGGCTTAGACATGTTCACTTCACTGATAAGGAGAAGCGCGCAATGATGCTGGTGGAGAGCACCAACAATCCATGACCATCGAGACAAGATGGGATGCTGCTCAATCGCCATGCCATGCTCCAGGATCAGCGTCGCAGCGCTCATGACAAGCTGTCGCAAGCGCTCAGGCATCCTACTGCGAACACTAGAAATGTACTTTTGTAATATGGAAACGTACAATCGATTCGAGACAATACCATGAAGCTCTGAAGCCAAGACGTGCAGTGCATTCGACTTGCTGAGCATCGGCACATACTTCTTCTCCATGGCTGCCAGGAATGACTGAACGCGTGATAGGATGGATGTGATGGTTACGTCGTTCTTGCCGCCCGTGCGCTTCTGGTCTAATTTTGGGCGTTCATTCCAGAGATAACGATGCATTTCGTATGCTTCGAAGCGCATACGACTTATGGTCATGTCAGTGAAACGAATCGAGTCTTTGCTGACATCTATGCCAGGCTCACCGCGCTCAGCGCGATCGAGGTCATCATCATCGATGTTAAGAGGGAAGCGCGTGTCAAAATCGTCTAGACGGATCTGCGGCCGGGGACCCACAGCTTCACAAGTACGGAGATCTAGGAAGCAGATCTGATACCATACAAGGCGCCGGACTTGAATCTCGATTGGCGAGCTACTGTATGAGGTAGGGTCCCGATGGAGCCCCATGCATTCGGCAAGGCGGATCAAGGATCCCGTCAGCGCAGAGTGGGCGCGGGACACTTCATTACGGCACAAGGGGATCTAAAATCGCTAAATTAGCTTCGTGATACTATTGCGCAAAACACCGCTAATGTGTAGTAAATCCGATGCAGCATCTGTCTAGAGTCTCGCAGCAGAGGATATGACATACCAGATACATGACAAAAGCTTGAATAGTTTCCAGCTTGGTAGTGCGCAAGAAGTTGGCTTTGGCGAGAGCTGCCTCTGTTCCTTCACGAAAGCTATTCACCAGTGTTGGTTTATCAACCTGGTATTCAGCCTGCACTTTCTCTTCACTCATAGAGACAACTGAACTCAGCATAGCTGCAAAGAGAACCGCCTGAAAGGAAGAGCGAGGCTCCATGCCCATGTTGACTCTGATCCAAAAGTTTTGATATTGCCTCTCGAATGAGGGGCGATGGACGACTCGAGCAACGACATGCACAGCGACCCAGTAATGTGCGATAAGTTTATCAACAATAAATCGTGCTGGCAGATAGGACACAAGCGATGCGTTATCAAGCCCGGAAGCCAGCATGAAGTTGGAAGATGGGGCGACATAGTCCTTACTTGGCGCTAACCAAGTAGGATCTTCCTCGATAGTTGGCTGAGAGGGGGTTTCTCGTAGGGGCATTTCTTTTATGTGCTGGGCTAGCTGGAAAACAAATATGTCAATTGATGATAAGCGACCCGGGGGATGTGGAAACTTACTTCATCCGAGAACTTTGGACGCACGAGACCTCCAATACGCTCTGTTATTCGAATCTTACCCATGCGGAAGCCAAGATCGACTATGTCGTCGTTGGTATCGTCTTCGTCTTCGTAATAGGTAGCGTCTTCGGTAGCAAAACCGGTTGGACGAAGGTCCTTGGTGTCCTCATCTTCTTCCTGGTCACTTTGGTGAATTTGACCGGGGAGTGCGCTCAGTTTGGAGAAATCATAAGGGCCTCTGCTGTTTGAGTCTGTCTTGCGAACGACGCCTTCTTCGAGACTTCTCTCCAGCATGCCCATCTGCTCCTTGACTTCTGCGAGCTTTGCTTGCGCATCTGGATCCAGGCCTTGGGCGATGAAGACGCATGCCCGAGAGTTCTTGGTACAGTGTGTGCATGGTTGGGCTTTGTCACACTTCAGTTTTCTTCTTCGGCATTCAAGACACGAAGTGATCAACCGATTGCGGCGGCGAACGCGCGGTTGACCTTGAGCTGTCTTGCGTTCAAAGCCAGGCAGTTGACTAGGCCATTGCGTGCCGTCCAAGCTTGGCAGGGACGCGCTGGACATGACGGGTTGAGATGGTTGTGGGACCGTGGTACAGGTAGGTAGGGTAGGGTAGAAAGCCTTACGGACGTAAGATGGGAGCCAGAAGCGCTGGGGAGCAAATCAGCGATGGGGAAAAGAACCGACTAGGCGGGAAGCGAACGTTGTGTACATTAGCTGCTAGTCGTCTTTACGTTTTCTGACGGCTGCAGGAGGGCTACTGTCGAGATGGTGGATAGGAGGATGCAGATGGTAGGTACATCTGTAGGTTCGCGGCTCCAGACAGTAGCAGAACTGATGCAAAGGAGGGAGTTGTCTGGGACGCACCGACAAGGACGAGGACCCCCTCATGACCTTGTCCTAACTAGGGCCTCCCAGAACTCCCTCCGACCAGGCGAGACGCGGAAATCTTCTCGGCTGGTGCACCAGGCCATCAGCCGCCCCGCGCCGGCTTCCGGGAAACCATCAGCGACTGCTACTACACAGTAATCAATGTCCGTCAGCGTCATCTAGTCCAGTTACTTGTTTTGCAAAGTCGTCTCTTGCGGTATTGACATGTCTTGTGCGAGCGTGAACAAAGTTTCTCGACCAGCTGTACCAAGCAGACACCTGGGAGCGCCTTGTTCATCGAGGGTGGGCATCATGGTGGTCCGTTTCGTATATATGGCGAATGAGAACCTTATCAGGAGAACGCATGGCTCTGGTGCTAGCGATCTATCCGGGCCGACTGCAGCAGGGGCAACCGTTGGGGTCTGTAAGTATACTTAAACATGTGTATGTAGCATTTTTGTCAGTGTGTTGGAGGAATTGGTTGAGTCGTGGTCGTGGCGTTCCTGAGCCTGCTGAGGCTAATGCCGATGGACTGGATCTGGGCCTCGATGATGTGTACATACATACATACACGGTCAGACAGAGTGGCACGACATGAGGAGGCTGTCTTTGCCCTGTCATTGTACGGCGAGGGGCTCTTGATCATGCTGGTCATGGCAACAATGGATGGCAGCAACAGTAACACCAGACGCGAACACCAAAACGCCCAGTCACGTTTTTGGAGTCCACGCGACTCGCGACAGGGCGGCCTTTGATCCCCACTGGATGGTTGCCGCCGCGATCTCTCCAACGCACGTCCTCACCGCTTCCATAACAAACACCTTTTCTCATTGTCTCTTGTGGACTGCCCCCCCACTACCACCTTCACCAACGCACACACGCCTGACACCTGCCAATTCAATTGCCTTTGCACTCTCACCCTTCCCTCCTCTTCTCACCCCGCCCCTTACTCAGTCCACCGCGTCCAGCCTCAACATGTCTGTCGTCTCGCTTCTCGGCGTCGAGGTCAAGAACAACCCCGCGCGCTTCGACGAGCCCTACGAGTTTGAAATCACATTCGAATGCCTCGAGCAACTACAAAAAGGTGAGTGCACTCGTCCAGCGTGTCCATTGTCCCTGCTAACACGCATCCACAGACCTTGAATGGAAGCTGACCTATGTTGGCTCCGCGACCTCGTGAGTCCATCAACCGCCCCCGCCCATTGTCCTGATCGCGTCTAACGGGTGCCAGGAACGAGTATGACCAGGAACTCGACTCGGTCCTTGTTGGACCTCTGCCAGTCGGCGTCAACAAGTTCCAATTCCGCGCCGATCCCCCGGATCTATCGCGCATTCCCAACAGCGAAATCATTGGTGTCACCGTTATTCTGCTCAGCTGCAGTTACGATGAGCGCGAGTTCGTCCGTGTCGGATACTACGTGAACAACGAGTACACAGATGAGGCACTCGCCCTAGACCCTCCCACCAAGCCTGTCATCGAGAAGGTACAGAGGCAAATTCTTGCCGAGAAGCCACGAGTCACCCGCTTCGCCATCAAATGGTATGTTCAGGCAACTGCACAAGCACTCTTCAATGCCGCTAACCCCACCAGGGACTCTGAAGAGTCTGCGCCACCCGAGTTCCCCCCTGAGCAGCCAGAGGCCGATCTCACTGCCGACGGAGACCAGTACGGTATCGAGGAGGAGGAAGAGGAAGACGAGGGTGTCGAGGGTGCCGCTGCCGAGGGCGAGGATGCTGCCATGGCAGGTGCTGATGACACTGCCGGCCCCGCCAACGACGACGACGCCGAGTCTGAGGCTGGTAGCGAGGAGATTGACATTGAAGACTCGGAAGATGACGAGGAGGAAGAGGGCGAGGAGGGCGGAGACGACGACATGGAAATGGATGAGGCCGAGCCAAGTGCTGCCAGTGGTGACAAGGCAGCCGGCCAACAGTCTGGCGGTGCTGCACAACAACAGCATGGCGCAGATGTCATGGTGCACTAAGCGGCAACCGCGCCCCGTTCAGATCACTTTCTGACTTTGCATACCCGTCATTGCGAATGCCTTGGAACAGCGGCAGGCGGTGTTGGCTGGGTCGTCTTTAAGATATGTATACATTTGACATACCTGTAGCCACTATCTACAGGATGTTGTTTTTCCCTTCTCATGAAATAACAACGTACGATGCCAAGCATGATGATGATCATGGTGTACCTATATTTATGATGACTCTCTAACCCGAGTCTCGATTTAATCATAGTAGCAAAGACATGAACATATGCAGCCACGCAAGCCAATACTGCGCCCGAATACATATGGGCATGGGTACGTAATGTCTCATCTCCGCAGAAGAAAAAACGCTCAACATGCCGCTAGATCCGGAGTTTGACAAGCTCAAACGCCCAAGAAGTCGTGCCAGGGAGGCCAAAAGGGGTGACGCGACACCGAATACTATTAGTGCACAGCCTCTAGGCATTGTATGGCGCAGCGGCGCAGCCCAATCCGCGTATCATGTTGTAAGCGCCAGATGCACCGAGATAGTTATAGATGATGTGAGCCTGGGGTATGTACACAACTGACGTTATGACCCATGCACATCCGTTCAAGGGTCTTCTGCTTGTGTTCTTGTGACCTTAGGAAGTGCGCGGGTGTGTGCAGAGTCAGGCAACGCACTTGAACTTGACGTCAAGCGACGGCATCCTTTACTGCCCAGAATCTAGAAGCCCTGATCACTTCAACGCCGGTTTCACTTCCTGATCGCTGCGTGTTTCGCTCCCTCTCTCTCGTCTCTCGCTCTCTCTCCAACTCCGCCCCTCGACCTATGCTACCCACCTGTGTCCCTGCGCCCAACCCTCGCCAGCACCGCCACCATCCGCCATCAACACTCCTCCCTGAGCTTTACGCGACATACGCCTACACAGGATCGCCCGCATCCTCGTATACGACACCCGGGGGACCGCACGGGTTGCGGGAAAGGTAACAGCTATTAGCGACAGCGATTCAGGGTCGTACCCCACCAAAGTCCAGGTACGCTCATTTCCTGGTCCACGCGTCACTCGGCATGCAACAAGGCCTCCGGGACCCCATTATGCGAGAGTGGCTTATTATATGGCGGAGACCTGCATGGCTATACAGGTCTCTTTTGTACAGGAGCTGATGCTAACATCCCAAGCAGCCACAGCGTCTTGGGCTTGACATTCTCTAGTCACTATGAGCTACTACCACAACCAGCCCCAGCTGGGGGCGACTTTTGTGCCAGGAGGCATCGATGACTATTATATGCCGGCTCCTTCGCCAGAAGTCATCTCCCCTGCGCCCCAGCGGTTCGTTCTAGCCCACCACATGCAGGCCCTAAGATTGCGGCTGACGTAGATTTGGCGGCAGGATCATGCCCGAAGTGCCTGAGAACATGCAAGAAAACATCGCACATCTAGAGTTAGAGGCAAACGGCCCTCGAAGCATCAACGGCGCAATGTCACCAACGCAGCAGAGCTACAATCAGTCGCAGCAGCAGTTCTCCCCGCGACAGGCCAATTACCCCAACGAGCTGCCCGCACACGACGATCAATGGCCATCCCGACAAGGAAGCATCTCCGCTGCCTTTCGACAACCACCCAACGTCCAGCCTCAGCCTGTCCAGCCTCAGCACCAGCCCTCACACGATTACAACCAGTTCGCGCAGCATCACGAGTCGCCCAATTTCTCCCCCTTTCCCAAGCTCCCAAACAGACCGCCCAATGTGCCCCCGTCCGACGATGAGAAGGAAGCAGTCTTGGAAAATGCGCGCCTGCCTGTCCTCAACTCGAACGATCCCGAGATGCAGTTGGCTTGGGCACAAGATGCCCTACAATATGTGGATGCTGCGCAGTTGCACGAGCAGCGCATCTCCGAGATCCAGGGGGCCAGGCCGGCAACACCACAAGTCGAGCACCAGCTGCGTGTGGATGCAATGAACGTGGTAACGTTTCTGGCAGATCAGCACCACCCAAAGGCAATGTTCATGCGGGGAATGTGGCTCGAGTTTGGCAAATTTGGCATGCGAGCAGACAAGAAGGAGGCGTTTCGATGCTACTCTCGTGCGGCCGCAAAAGGATATGCCAGGGCAGAGTATCGAATGGGCATGCAATTCGAGCAGGCAAACGACCCTATCAAGGCTCTGCAAAACTACAAAGCTGGCGCAGAGCAGGGTGACTCGGCCTCCAACTACCGTCTTGGTATGATGACGCTCCTCGGACAACACGGTCAGCCTCAAGACTTCGCGCGGGGTATTCAGCTTATCAGACAGGCCGCTGCTACTGCAGATGAGAACGCTCCCCAAGGTGCCTACGTCTTGGGCATGCTTCAAGCCCGCGAACTTCCACAGATCAGCGTTCCTGAGGCATTCTTGGCCTATGACGAGAAAGGGGCACGACAAAACATTGAGAAGGCCGCATACCTTGGTTTCGCGAAGGCTCAGCTGAAAATGGGCTCTGCCTATGAGCTCTGCAGCTTGGGCTGTGAGTTCAATCCTACATTATCATTGCACTACAATGCGCTCGCATCCAGGCAGGGTGAGCCTGAAGCGGACATGGCTATCAGCAAGTGGTTCCTGTGTGGACACGAGGGGGAATTCAACAAGAATGAAGAGCTGGCGTTCCAATATGCTCAACGAGCAGCAGTGACAGGTCTGGCCACTGCAGAATTTGCCATGGGCTATTTCCACGAGATTGGTATGAATGTTCCAGTCAATCTCGACAAAGCCCTCGAGTGGTATGGAAAAGCCGAGAAGAACGGCAACAAAGATGCAACCGCACGTATAGAGAGCATATCGAAATTGTCACGAACATTGTCAAAGAAGGACCATGAAAACGTCGCAATCAACATGATCAAGTCAAAGCACGGCTCCATGCGGGGACAGCGACCAACAAGGCTTCAGCAACCTCATGCTCCTATGGCGTCGATCAGCGACGTAAGCCCTTCTGATTACGGTTCGGATGCCTCACCTGCCACACCAGGAGGTGGTCGACTACCAGGCCGAGGCGATAGCACAACACCGTATCCTATCTCTGACCAGCCTCCCATGATCGCAAATGCGCCCATGTCCGCACCTTATGACCGTCCATCTACAGCAGCACCGTACCCAATGGACAACG